CCTTTCTTTGGTTCTTTTCTTCAGCCTTTCTTTGGGGGAGTAGTGTGCCTGTCAGCTGGAATGAGTGTGTTTGTGAAACTCTGAAGTGCACTGTCTGTATTGGAGCCAATACTTGCCTCTGTGCTCTCCTCTCTTTAACAGGCAGGCTCTGCGTGGTGCTTTCTTCCTTCCCCAGTGGTGGTTAATTTAGGGACAAGTGCTGGCTCAGTGCAATGGCAAGCAATTGGCATGTGGTGTTTTGCTTTTTAAATTTTTTATTTTATATTGGTTTGCATACAAAGCTCACATACATTGTGTTTTCACACTGTCCTTCATTCACATTGTGTTTCACACAATCATTCCTGTTCATTATATTTTGTAAAATTAATAACCATTGAACTATATCCAAAGAAATAGGATTTATTGTTCTTCTTGTTCTGAAACCATTGGTGGGATCCGGAAAACAGGATGTTCATAAGTCTTTACCCAGAAATAGAATTGAACGTGGTTCCACACAGACATATACGTGGATGACTACATCTCTCTGTGTTTAGCTATAACAGAACCTCATAGGATGAGTAATTGGGCCAAGAGAGAGGGATAAAACAATAGATATATAGAGATAATTTTCTTCTTAGACTCAGGCCTTTTAAAGTAATTTTAAGCCACTAAATCTCAGGGGCAACAACAATTTAAAAAGAGACAACAACAACAACAACAACAACAACAAAACCCTCCTTTCTGTAGATGCCATTCTCATACTTACCAACCCATTTTACCCCAGCATCTATAATTTTGTCTCATTTTCTTTGCAGGTATTTTCTTAAGCAATGTTATGATGTCTTTAGCATTGAGACCACCATTCCCTCAATATCTAGACTTATTTCCGCCACCAACAATTTCTATGGTGGCTTCAATATCACTGGAAGCAAAATCATCTTTCCGAATGGTTCCCTTGATCCATGGCACCTTCTTGGCGTGACGAAGAGCATCAGTGAGGAATTGCCAGCTATCTTAATTAAAGGTAACACCGTTGTAGATGGTAATGGACCCACACATTAGGACTGGGGAGGACAAGGTGGTTGAATAGTTGAATTCTCCCCTTTGTTGGAGTTCTCATTCTGATTTAACGTGACTCCACGTGTCTCACATGAGAGCTATCCTCCTTGGGATTTACAGAGCTTGAGGTCTCTGAAAGCAGACCCCTTGGCTTTTTCCCTAGGCATCTCCCAGTGGACTTGAACCCCCAACTTTCACACAGGAGCTGGTTACAACACTCTTGGTTTCCATGTGACTGTTGAGTCTTTTGTGTTCTTGTTGTTTTGTTTTTTCTTTCTGTGTTCAGACATGACCACATGTGCGGCTGTTTTCACCATAAGCATGGTGTGACCTGAACTGATATTGAAATGTGGTGATATTGTTTACAGTTGCAGGGAGCACTGTGGTGTTCTTCCATTGCTCATGGTGGGGAAAAGTCTTACACTTTCTATGCTGTATCTCTCCTAACCTGATAGGGAATAATCCACCTTTATTAGTTTCTTGTTTCTAGTTTTCTCTTCCCTAAATAATAGAAAAAATAGAATTATTTTTCTTTTGCAAAGACATATAAAATATTTTAGATAGTATACTACACATTACTTTTTATTCTTTATAAAGATAGGTCATCAGCTTTCCAATTTTAGTCCTGAAAGTTTTCCCTCACTCCTTTTCATGACTAAACAGTACTCCATTGGTTGAATGTGCTACGTTTATTACATAGCTTTAGCTTCTTTTGTTGATTTTTATTAAGTTTTAGCTTCTTAACAGCAAATGAAGGAACCCTGGTGGCACAGTAATGAAACACTTGACCAGTATCTCAGAGTTAAGTTCAAGTTCATGAGCTGCTTTGCAGAAGAAAGATGTGAAGATGGTGGCCTTGAAAACCCAATGGCACAGAGATAATCTGCCTTAGCAATGGCAGTGTTTTTGGGTTTATTGGTTTAACACGTTGCTGCACTCTTTTAGATTGAGACCGTGCTTAGAAACACATCTTTTGGCCATCATTTGAGGCAATGTGTCAACAGACAAGAAATTATCCCTGTAGTGCAATGATTACAACCATGCTCCTAACTGAAGGACCGAGATGCCTTCAGAGAAAGACTTTGTGATCTTGCTTCCAAAGTCAGGACCTTTGCAAAGTCTATGGGGGACACTATTCTTCTGAACATACAGGGTTTCCGTGAGGTGTTACCAACGCCAAGACAACTGACTGGTTTCATTGCGTTTTGGCTTTTGATTTGACTGCATGGACATTTATACAATTCTGAGCTTACATTCAGCAACTACTATGCAAAGCATAATGTAGCAGACATTGGTGAACTGGTCTCAATGCTTATTTTCAGCATCAGTTTTCTGAGTCATCATTTCAACTCTATGAGACGTAATTCCACATCTGTAAAACTAAGGACTCAGAAAATACTTAAGTCTCCATAAAATGTCATCTAGCTGATCTTCTTTTCCTATGTTTTATGTCTGTCAACCCATTCTCTCTAAAAAAAAAAGTAGTAAAAGCCCTGATTTGTAACATCTGCTGATGGCCACGATGTAAGTACTCTCATGACCAATTTTAAGCCCTCCATTTAATGGCTATCTTGAAGAATTTCTGTAAATTGAACCATGGCCTCTTAGAGCAGTTACAGTGTGACTTAGACTCTTGAGAAACCTTTTGGAAGTGAGACTGACTGACATTCCGACATTATAATCACCTCAGAAGGAACCCAGGTTAAGCTACATTTAGGTTGGGGGGCGGAGGAAGAAACTAAAACCATCATTCTCTAAATTATCACTTGAATCATGTTCACTAGTTTGTATTAAAGAAGGACAGTGAACAATAACTCATTTCATTAGATGACATGTTTACTCAACTTGAACCTATAAAGAAACCTATTTCTTATTCAAAATTACCAATCTTCTTATAAATTATGGCTGCATGTTTTAATCACATTTCAGGCATGGCCTAGCCAGCAAAGAGCTACACCGTCAACCCGAAGATAAGCAGTTTCAATCGACAAGTTGCTCCCTGGGAGAAAGATGGGCAATCTCCTCCTGTGTGCTTTCTCCTTGCTGTGTACTGTTGTGGTGTTAGCTTAAATGTGGGTTTTAAAAGCCATTAGTTAGCCCCTCTGGCCTCCAGCTACCTTAACTACAGACACGTGGTCTTGCAAATCAGCACGCTCTTTCTAATCATCCAAAGCTGAAGCAGCAATATAAAGAGAACTCTGTCCACACTAGAGGGTGTGTGAAACCACCAACCCAGGAGCAGCGGCATGGCTGTGTTTTAGCTTCCTGCTGCATCCAGTCTGGCCCATTGCTCGCCAATTTCTACCAAAAACTGTAGGGCTTATATACCTCTGTGCATAATTCACCCCAAGGGTCCAAGTCCCTGGAGGACCTTCCAGCAAATCTTCAAATCCACAGGACATCAAGGAATTGGGGAACTTAGCCTTAGATGGAGCAGCTAATAGAAAATATGGACTTAATACAGCTGCTTATGCATTTGGGAGTCCAGTGACCTGAGGCTTCTCATAAATATGGACTTATACAACTGGTTACACATTTGGGAGTCCAGTGACCTGAGGCTTCTCATAAATAGCCTGTTAGTGGTGGTGGTGTTAAGTGCAGTCAGTTTGTCAGCGATTCATAGCAATCCTATGAACAAAAGTCCTCAATACTTGTGGTACTTTCATCCTTTCTCTTCCTTGAATAGAGGCAAATATGGAATGCTCAGGGCGCTGTGGCTTTCTTTTTGCCTCAAGTGGGTGTCAGCAGAGCGGACTTGCCACATGAATTGGGGGTCTCTGGGCCAGAGTTCGCCAGCATTTGGGCTTGCTGGAATGGTAAAATACTGAAATGTCTGGCCACGCCTGCAGGCTGAGGGCGAATGTCTTATGTCTTGTTGTTATGTGCCATTGAGTCACCTGTGTCTCATAGCGACCCTATGTACAAGAGCTCTAAACACTATTCTATCCTGTGCCAACCTCGCCATCTCTGGCACACTCACTCCCACCACTCCACTCACAGAATCAATCCATCTCATCGAGGGTCTTCCTCTCCTTCGCCGCCCCTCCACTCTGCCAAACATGATGTCCCTCTCCAAGGACCAGGCCCTCCTTGCAACATGCCCAAAGTAGGTCAGATGAAGCTTCAGAATTCTTGACTCCAAGGAGCATTCTGGCTTCACCTTCTCCAGAACAAACCTGTTTATTCTCCTAGAAGTCCATGGTATATTCAACACTTTTCTCCAGCACCACAGCTCAAAGGCATCAATCCTCTTTCTATCAACCCTATTCACTGTCCAACTCTCTGATGAATAGCACGTAATTGCGAAGACTATAGCCTGGATCAGGCGCCCCTTAATCTCTAGCCTGATGTCATTGCTCTTCAACACTCTTGAGAGGTCCCTCATAGCTGACTTTTCAGGACAAATTATAGAAACAACTGTCAAGTCAGAACTGTTCCATAGCTGATCCTTCAGCAAGTTTTCAAAGGCAGTAAATCACACAGGAGGAGATTGCATATCATTCTCTCACAAGCAGCTGGTAGAGAAACCACATACCTTTGCATCACCAGTGCAATTCCTTACTGCTAAGCTACCAAAGTTGACTCTGAAAACTGGCTGAAGGGTCAATTTTGGGTTGGTTCTTGCTTGATAGCAATGAGTTTCAATTTGTTTTGTTTTTTTCCCTAGTAGGTTTTGAAACTGATTTTGAATCAATCCTCTTCTGAGATAATGAAATCAACACTTCTGAAAGATGAAGGTCAACTGACTCATTTGAACAGGATTCTGAGTGACCCTAATGTGCAGCTGGGGGTTTAAGCACATGCCATCTTTGCTTGGGTGGTGTGTAGTCATTCTAATGTTATTCTTTGTCCTTTTAGGTGAAACACGAAGCCCAGATATGCGTATTATTAGTCGCACCGATTCAGCTGCAGTATTACAAGCACGCAGAAAGATCTTCCAGACCCTCAAGAATTGGCTAAGACAGTAGAATACTCTGAAAATAAATGTAAATAAATGAAAAAATCTGAGCTCGCTTTTTTTTTTTTTGTACAAATCTGAAACCTTTTGCAAAGGTAAAAGAAGAAGCCACCCAAAGAGGCTTGGAAAGCTGTTTTGAACACAAAACCAAAACCAACCAAGAACTACCTACTGTACCACAAAGCTCAACTACTAGCTGGGAAGGTTGACAGTTCAAATCCACAGGGAGGCATTTGAAACTCAGGCCTGTTGATCTACTTCCAAAAGTCACAGCTCTGAAAACCTTATGAAACAATTCTATCTTGCATATATGAGGCTTTAATGAGTCAGAATTAATGCAATGGCAGCAACAATATTCATGATTTCAAGTCTTTGTTGACCACCTTTCCCTGGGATAATAATGCTATTATACTTCAGTTGCATGTCTCACCAAAATCTAGCATCGTTCTGAGAATATATAAAAAGTGTGGAAAATTTTAAAACTCTTCAAAATATATTTCCACAGGCTAAGTAAGTGGTACTGGCATTTCAAACTGCTACTGTAGTATACTAGGAGTTAGGAAAATGTTCAACTAGTTCTTTTCAATCCTTATTCTAAAATCCCAAAAAGCTTAGAAGCAAAGCCTTGTACTATCATTGTTAGAAATAATGGCAGGAGTTTGTATTTATTTGAATATTATTTAAGTCTAATCTTGCTTGACTAAAATTAGTCACATTGATTTTTAAAACAAATTTAAAATTTAATTTTGGACTTGAAAGGTAATTCTGCACTGATGAATAGATAGATTTAGATTTTTTAAAACTGAAATATGATTTGCCCTCAGAAAATTGTACTCTTCTCAATATATGGTCCTGACATTTGACAAACGCAGACAGTTGAGAGCAAACATCACAATCAAGATAAAGATCACTTCTGTAATTATGCCTCCCTGAAATGTTATCAGCCCTTGGTGCTTAACCTTTTTCATCACTTTCCAGCAAACCACTAATCATTATTATGATTCTATAGTGTCATTTTTTCTAGAATGTTCTAAATCATGTTGTGTAGTGTTTTAAGTATTTTTTCCTCTCATTTAGCATGATGCATTTGAAAGTCATTCATGCTGTTGCAAATATAGTTTATTCCTTCTTATTCATAAGCGTTGTCATAGAGTAACATCATAGAATCTGTTTAAATAAAAACAATTTAAATTCATGGAGGGATAAAAATAACACACAACCGGGGAATGTCATTTGTCACATAGTAAATATGGCTGCTTCACCAGATTACAGAAAAGATTATATTTTTTTTAAATAAAAAAAATACTGGTTTGCATGCAAAGCTCGTGTACTTTGTGTTTCATACTATACTTCATTCACATAGCTTCATACAATCATTCCCATTCATTAATTTTATAAAATTAATCAACATTGAACTATGCCCATCACTGCCCCAACTTTTCAGATCCCCATCATGTCTTTCCCATTTCCTTTACCTCCCCAACCTCTACCCACCCATCCAATTATGTGACCCTATAATTTCCTCCTGCCCATGCTCACCCCTCTTCTATTCCCGCCTTGGATCCTCATACGTGTATTACTAGTTAACTTTCTCTTTTTATAGTAATGGTCTTACACAGTATTCATTCTTATGAGATTGAGTTAGTTCACTCAACATAATGCTCTCCAGTCCCTCCCAAATTATGCAGTAATTTTCAAAATAATTGCTTCTGAGTGCTGCATAGTATTCCATCATATGAATGTAACAATTCTCAATCTGTTTGATTGTGGTTGGACATCTGGGCTGTTCAAATGTTCTTGAGATAGTAAATAAGGCTGCAATGAACATTGATGTACAAAGATTACCTTCTTATAGTCTTATAATGAAAGATTTTAAAATTCATTATTATCTGAATCATTAGCAGGGCAGTTAAAGGTCAACTAAGAATCAAACTTTGAGTCGTGGTGCTGAAGAAGAGCATTGAACATACCACAGACCACCAAGAGAACAAACAGCTCTGCCCCGGAGAGAGTGGAACCAAGTTGCTCCTTGGAGTTTGGGATTTTGAAGCTCTGTCTCACATACTTCGGACATGTTGCCAGGAGGGATCAGTCCTTGGAGAAGGACATCATGCTTGAAGGGAGTGTAGGGTCTTTGCAGGAGAGAAAGACCCTGGATGAGATAGATTGACACAGTAACTGGAATAAAAGGGGGTAGGTGTGATGGAGACAGTGAGACTGGCTTAGGATAAGGCAGGGTTCAGAGCTGCTGTGCGTAGGGTCGCTATGAGTTACACTCAACTTGATAACACCTAACAATAACAATTGAAAGGAGTGAAAAGATCTGAGTCATTATGGATGACCTGTGTACGGTGTACCTCCTGGTTCACTGTATTTCTTGAATTTACCAAGGATTGCATTTTCACTTGGCTCCACAATCAACATCCATGATAGTAGCAGTCAAACAATTACGAGATGTGTTGTAGTGTACAAATCTGATGCCAAGGGCTACTTTGAAGTGATAAAAAGATGATAGTTTAAAGGCTAAGGTGAGCCTGGACCAGGTCACGGTATTTTCAGTTGCTTCCTATACACCTGAACACTGGACAATGCTTAAGGAAGACTGAAGATGACTTGCTGACTTTGAGTTGTGGTGTTAGCAGAGAGTATTGAATATTTCATGGACTGCCGACATAATAACCAAATCAAAATAATAATCAAATTGGTGGAAATGTGGCCAGGGTTGGTAAAATTCCATTTAGCAAACTTTGGGTATGTTATCAGGAGGCATCAGTCCTTGGAAAAGAGACATCGTGTTTGGAAAAGTGGAGAATCAGCAAAACAGAGGAAGACCCTCCTTGAGATGGATCGGCGCAGTGACCATGACAATGGGCTTGGACACAGCAGACATGAGCAGATGGAGCAAGATAGGGCATCTGTGTGTTTGGGGGTTTTTTTGTTTTATTTTCTTAACATGGTTGCTGTGAACGATAGATGATTCGATGGCACTTAACAACAATGACAACAACAACAACAACAACAATCTTAACCATTTTTTCGACTTAATAATTTCAAGTGAGAAAATAAGGTGAGTCAAGATGACTATCCCAAAGTCCAGAAAGCAGAATGTGATCAGAGAAATGCCCACAAATGCTCTCCTGGCCATACTGAACAACTCTCACTGCTCTAAGGTAGGAACTGATTGATTCATAGCTCACCCTCTGCTGAGTTTTCAGAGGCTGTCACTGTACAGGGCAAGAATGTCCATCCTTCTCCTGTGGAGCTGCTGGTGGATTTGAACCCCCAGAGAGGCACTATATTTGAGTTAGCAGCACTACTCCCTAAGGGCTATGCCCTCAGAGCTCCCTGGTAATTACTGTTAGCTGAAACGGCGGGGCTACGTAAATAAGTGCTCACTGTCCAGCAGAAGGATTGGAGGGCTTGCTGATAAAGTGAGTCATATGCACAGAACTCTCACGAAAGTGTCGTCGTTATGTGCCGTTGAGTTGGAGCCAACTTATTGCTAAGCCTCCAGCTGTGAGTCAGAGTCAGCCCTTAGGTGACTGACCCCCAAAGGGGTTTTCAGAGACAATTAAATAACATGGGAGAAGACGGTCCATCTTTCTCCTGCGGAACAGCTGGTGGATTCAAACCACACGCCTTGGTGCTGGCAGTACCACTCGTTACCACTAGGCCTCAAGCACTCCCTCATGGAAGTGTTTCCATGCAAATAAGGTAAACGGAACTCTGACTAGGAGATGAGGCAGGTTTGCCCTTCGGCTAGCCTTAAAATGTGCCATTGCAGAGGTGGGAGGGGGGCTCATCATCACCAAGAAAGAAGAGCCAGTGTCTGGGGGAGGGGGGAGGAGAGGGAGAGGGTGGGGGGAGAGAGAGAGAGAGACAGACAGACAGACAGACAGACAGACACAGGGTGATAGAGAAATAGCAAGAAAAAGAAAGAGGCAGGTGAAAATTCTACCACTGAACCATCAATTGCAGACAAGAAAGAGGGAGAGTGAGAAGGAGTGAGCAGAGAAATGGTGGTGGGGAACTAAGAGGCATGTTCACAGTGGTGGCTTCCTGGTTCAGGCCCAGGCCCAGGCCCAGGGAGTGAGAGAGTACAGTGCCTTCAGACGTAAGGCTTGCTGGCAAAGGTGGATGCTGCTGCACGTATACTGGAGATAAAGAACACTCTGAAAGTCACCCTAAGAGCCTGGAGGATGAGTGGGGCCGGAGAAGCTTAAGGGGCCCAGGAACTAAAGCTAGACTGAGGTTTGCCTCCAAGCATGTCTGAGAAGAATCTAGACAGAACAAGGTCTGATTCATTTCTGACCCTAAACTCGAACCTGTTACTTTCAGAATATAATTCCATAATCTTGAGTATAATCTGTGAAGTCTGTGTGGTCATTGCAATAAATGATGGAATCCAGCAGCAAAGCAGGGTCTTACGGGAGGGCTAGTTGGTGTTGGAATTGGTAGAAAGTTTGACTTCCACTTTACAGCACTCAGCCTTGGTCTGTTTCTCTTTCCTCTTGATGAAGTCAGAAGTCAGTGACATCCCCCCGTGACATTCTTACACCACAGAACTGTAGACAAAAACTGGATGGAGTCAAGGATGAAGTTGGGAGTGAAGTGTTAGTCAAGGTCCAGCTGATCAAAGGACATTTTTTCCAGTTAAAAAGATGACAGTGAGTTTTGTTTGGAGAAGAAATAACAACTGTTCAATGAGTCTTGAATGATCAGAGTTTTCATAAAAAATACCTGCTATGAGGTAACTCGTGGTGGCTGTGATGCTGAACACTGTGACCCTGATGTGCCAAATACGATATTGGTCACCCTTGGCAGACAGTGTTTGGTTTTGCTTGCCGATTAAAACAAGTTTGGAAGCAGGAGTGGCATCCACTTCTGAAATAGCTTGCTTCTGGAAACCCTATGAACCTGGAGAAATGATGAAAAGCTATACAAGTGTTCAGGTCTTTTGTTCATAGGGTTGCTATGAGTTGCCTATGACTCGACCACATTTAATAACAACAACAACAACAACAACAACAACGACGACTTCTGTGCAGGCAACATTTGTCTTCCAAGCTCAACCTCCTCTCCTCATTCTGCTGTGCTCATATTGGTCGGTGCCTTGTACTAATGAGATGTAAAATTCAGCTAAACATTTCTTTCTGTGCGAGCAGACTCTAGAATTGCTGCCGAGGGAAGGGAGCAGGCCAGATGGGAGGACCTGCCAGTGGTCTCCAGACCGTGGTGACGATCTGTCTGGATGAATTAATCATCCTGCAGTAACCATCCTTAGCTCTCAGGGACTTAACACATTTAACTGTCCCTCAGGCAACAGGGTAAACAAAGCTGGCTGGTGGCTGAGGGATCTCTGCTCACTGAGGTCACTAGGACTCAGGACAGAACCTGCGCTTCTGAGACACTTCATTAAAGGAAGAGACTGAGTTGAGCTACTTACGGCCTTGAAAGTCATTGATGAAAGAGGACATGTGTCACTTCTCTGCACAGGGCACCCGTCAAAGCAAGTTGTTCTTGTGAGTCTGCCTCTGACTCACAGTGACCCCAAATACAGGTGAGCAGAGCGCCGCCCGGCCCTGCAGCAGCCCCATAACTGGGGTGGACTACCGAGCCTGCTGCAGCCAGCCCATGGGCTCATTCAAGAGCAAATCATTAGGCCTTTCTTCAAAGTCTTGTTATGGAAACTCTGCTGAAATCTTTTCAGCATCATACCCATAGGCAAGCCTCCACTGAGATGGCGATAGGCTGCACGGGAAGGTCATCGTATAAGAACTAAACTGTAATTATGTCATGTTTCCAAAGAGACAGGAACATGCCATCCCACCTGAGTTTATGGCATCAGATTTTAACTTACTACATCTCCTCAAGCCATTCGAATAGTCTCTTTGGTGTGGAAAGTTCTGGCTTGTTTAGATGATCTTTGCAGAAACGTCATGGGTGATTTCTGTGTTCTTTACCCTACTTCTCCATGAACTCCACAGCAGCAGGTTAAGTTCTGAATATAGAATCGCATTCACTAGGAGCTCTGGTGACCAAGTGGAAAGGAGTTGTGCTGCCAACCCACAGGGAGGTGGTTTGAATCCACCAGCTGCTCTTTGGGAAAAAGACAATTTCTTTTCATGCTATTTCCAGTCTTTGAATCCCCACTAGAGGGTCAGCTATGAATTAGTTCTGACTCGATGGCAATGAGGGAGGGAGTGAGTGAGGTGTTTGATGAATGAACCACTTTTAGCAATGACAGACCCACCTTTCATGAGAAAACAAAATGCAAAGTAAGGGTGTTTTTTATTTCTATTAACAACAAAATACTTCTATAATTTCACATCTCAATGCTTTTATGAGACATATATTACAAATAAAGGAACTCCACAAACTTTGAAGATTAGTATTTATCAACACTTTTGTACACATTCACAAATATGTTAATATCAGGGTATCTGAAATATTACTCATAATTTTAGTATTGTCATAAGTATTAACTAAAAAGTTTCTCTTCAATGTGGTAAAAATTTTATATTTTACAATTTTCTATTTACATTTGAAATAGGCTGAAATGTTACAAAAACATTCACTCTGACATTTAAAATACTGTACTGTAACTTGACATTGAACCTATAATAACTGACAACAGGCAAATGTAGGGTTCGCTTCTGCGCTTTTACATACTGATTGGAATTTCATAGCAAAAAAGTTCAATGCTGCACAAATAAAAACATCACAAAAAAGTGCAAATCTGGAGGCTGGCAAAAATCTCAAGCTAGCGAGGTAAAAAAAAATTAATATAAAAAGTTCAAATAAATTAAATCTGTCTTTCTCTTCCCAGAGATTAGATGCAAATCCAGAAAGTTCTGCAGCGGTGTGTCAAATGCTGCAGACTCAGGCCTCAGCACTAGGTGAGCTGGACGCAGCAGGCGGGGCTGGGGCTGTCCGGCTAGTTACTCGAGTGCAGGTTCGCTCCACTACGTGCTTTGACGGGTCTTCCCTGTAGGTAATCTTAAAACCAGGACAAGACAACATGAGACGAAACAAAGCCAGAAGTGAGGATTAATATTCTCAAACTCAAAATTGACACCTAGACTAGTAATTTTCAGTCTCCCCAGGCTCTGAGGAGCTTTATGGTATAGTCTTTATGGTGGTATAGTCAGTAGGGACTTGGACTGCTAACACAAAGTCCAGCCTCTTTGGCAGTTCAAATCCAGTGTCTCCTCTGGAGAGAGAGACCGATCAATCTCTCCTCAGATGATTCACAGCCCAACCATAACCCACTGGAGGCTCTGCTGTCAGGCAGTTCTGACTTCAAATGTCAATGAGTTTGAGATTTTTGGGGTATGTACACATCCTGAAAGTTCACTCATCAAATTAGACTCTGAAGAATTTTCTCCCAAGCTCCTGTACAGCCAGTGTGGCAAGACCTGAAGTGGTGTTTACAGCACTCCTTACCTATGGAATATAACATTTTACATGTGTGAAGGAGCCTTCTAAATGCATCTGAGGAATTTTATTTGACTTTCAAAGTTTAAGTTTTATCTTACCCCATCTACTAAAAAACAGAGGAAGTGTGAATTACCACAAAGATGGATTAAAGGAAATTTAATTTTGCTTAAAAAATTAGGAGTAAAAGGAAATGATCTTCATTGCTTTTACTTTTGAAGATCATACGCGGACATTTTTTTCCTGATTTGTTTATATAAGATGTAAATACTGTACAATGCTGTACAGCAAAGAGTGATCAGTATTGTGAACTGCTAGTTACGGAGATTTCCCCACTGCACACATTATGACACAGTGGCATTAATTTTTTTAAAGTAAACAGTTCTTTTTATTTAACTCCCTTTTTAAAATATTAAATTGATTTTAATGAAAGTTTACAGAGACTTTGGATTTCCATTCATTCATTCATTGTTGCACTTTTCTCCCTGCCCATCCCCTCCCCTCATTCACTTTCCTTTTGAAAAGTAAAAGAAAAAAATTCTTTCATTGTTATATAATCCCTCCCCGCCAAGTCCACTCCACTAGTCAGTCTTCGTTCTGGTCTCCTGTCATGACAATAATACCTGATCATATAGCCCTTTAAACAGTTCTCTCCCTCATCTGTTTCAATGCAGTGGCATTCTTATTCTAAGATGAAACTGTTTCCCTAGCCCATGTAGTGTACGCAACATCAGAGAATTCAGGTACTGAATCACTCCCACTGAGTGAACACTGTGATCGAGCACATTTAATTCAACTCTTGGGGACCCTCGTACAGGCTTCCAAGGCTTTAAATCATTATAGGAGGAGACTGTCCATCTTCCTCACAGCCAGCTGCTAGTGGATTTGAACTGCTAGCCTTTTGGTAAGCAGCCTGATGTGTTTGTTAAGCACACTACCACCAGAGTTCCTCGAGCACTATGTTCCACCACGAAAATCCTCCTTATGACCAATATTAATCAGCTCTATATAGATAATTGGACCAGTCACATGTCCAAAGAGCATTTGAGACTCCAAGAGAGATACACTTTTTCATCTCAATTACTTGACACGATAGAAGAGCAAGGCTTTTCCTATTTACTGAATCTGTGTGTGCTTTTTAAAAAGGAGCTCTGATGGCTGTTGGCTGTTACCTCAACACTGGTGCCTTTCTGGTGGTTTGAAGCCACCTGCAGCTCCGTGGGAGAAAGATGGGCCCCCCTCCAGTGCAGTTTATAGCCTCTGAAAACACACTTGCTGGTAATGAGTTTTAGTGCCACAGGGGTTAAACACTCATCTGGGAAAAGGTTTGCTGTTCAAACCCCACCAGTGGCTCAGTAGGGCTCAAACCCAGCACAAAAACCCACTCACAAAGATCAATCTAGAAAACACGTCAGTTCTACTCTGTCCTATGTCATTGCTGAGACTTAAAGACACCTAATAAATTTTCAGACTCTTTCTTTTCTCAGCAAAAGAAAGGTTTTCAGGTATGGAAACTAATTTTCTTTTTCTTTAACCTTAACCATCTGACCTTTTTATTACCTTTTGATGTATTTTTGTCTTACTGCTTCTGGTACAAACAGCTCAGATATCTTTTAGAAGTCGGTGGGGAACATGCATTTTGTTGTTAACTTAGCCTCAATGCATAGGCTCTTTTTCAAGTTATTTTACTATAAAACAGAAGTGCTTATAATGAAATAAAACCTTAGCAAATACAAGCCTCTATGAAGATCTCTGAAAGGAATGCGTAGCTAAGAAGAGATAGGGAAAACGGAAGCCCACAACGCACAGCATAGACATAAGAAAAGGGGAACAAACATACCACTTTTGCTCACAGTACTGAGAGAAATACTAGACACAGAAGAACAGAAGCTGTATAAACACGGACCGTGACAAAGCTGCCGGGGGAAAAAAGAGAAAAAAAGAGTTTGGAACGAGGTTTCAAGATCAGGAGCAATTTAGAGTTGGCGATAAGCATTCCTACACCACTGTTCCTAACATTTAGATGCACTGTCTGTTCTTTTTCTTACACTATCTGTTTGATGATTCCCTAATGGTGTCAAGGCATCTTTCTGGAATATTTCATGTCCATCATGCATTAAAAGCAGCCCAGGCCATGAGTAGCTTCATTAGGATTTGTAGGTAGCAGAATTATTCTTCCCCCAGATATAAGCCAGTAAACCTATTCCTTTTCAGTCTGCTCCAGTGACAGACTCTGTGTGGTGCACTGACACAGCCTCTGTGACAAAGGGCATTGTGGACGAAGACAGTGTAGAACTTGGCAGTGCTTTTTTCTGGTGCACAGGAAGGCATGAGGAGTCAGAAGAGATGCAACAGCACTTACTACAGCAACAAACTGGAGAGCGAAAAATGGAGTGGGAGGAAACTTTTTTAAAAGAAACATATTTGAGGAAATGACACTGAAACAAAGGATGCACATAATACATTATATGTTTTGTGAAATCGTGTTAATAGTGCAAGCTACTTAACAAAAGTGTGGGGAACAAATATTTAATGAATGACTACACTTCATGGTTGGAAGCAGGAGTGGCATCCATTCCCTAAACAACATGCCTCTGGAAACTCTATGAACTGTGATAAATGTCCATAGTTATAGAAAGGCTTCAGGCCTTTTGTTCATATGGTTGCTGTGAGTCGTGCTCGACTAGAAGGCAATCAACAACAACAACAACGCTGCATGAGACCCAGACTGGTTTGTGTTCTCCTCCCTCAAGTATTCCATACAGAACACATCTAACTTCTAGAAGGGACCGCAGGTCATGAAATAGGTGTAGTATGAGAGTGGGATGGATGATGGGGTGTAGGCCAATGAAACAACATTAGACTATTGCCAACTTGATTCTCAGCACCCCTGAAAGTAGTATGATCACTGAATGCTAACATTTTATTCACAGCCGTACAGAAAATACTGACTGCATGCACGCCAGAAATCAGGACTGACTTGTTTGTGGGTTGAAGGGTTAACCTGCATGCCAGCTCTGTACCCCTCTGCGGGGTCCTGACACTGTCAAGTCTAGGTGCTCTACTTCTAGGACTCCAGTTTAGTATTTACTAAGGTATTCAGAGTGCCTCGTGGCAGAACTGTGGAACACTGTGCAGGGCAGTTCATTCTGCACCAAAGCTGAAAGGTCAGGTAGGGTGAGATTCTCAAACAGTGACGTAGCAGCAGCACACTGTAGTGGGAATGTGAACCAATGTTTCTGTTGAAGAGGGCAATTCAGGAAATCAACAGCCTGTATGGTTTAGCCATATACCTCCGAAAATGGCAGAAAGCAAGTGGGTCATCTCTCGGATTTTTTGTTTTGCTTTGTTTTAAATACAGTTCCCAACCTCTCTTCCATCTGATCTCTGCTTTGAAGCAAGAAGTGCTTTGTTTTGGGGGTTGTAAACAATCCAGCACATGGACTTCTTTTAGGGAACAGTTATTTCAATAGTAAGGAAAAAGAGAGGGGAAGAGAGACTCTGGCTGGTCCTCTCAGGGGTACAATGGGCATGTTCCGTTCACTCGCTGCTCTTGCCAGACCAAGGAGAGCCTCACCTGCTCATTCATGACTGAGGAGAGCTCACTGAGCATGTCCTTATAGTGCGATCTCAATTCTTCCTGGTACTCCAGCTGGTCCTCCTTTATCAGGTGCTCATTCACATCGAGGGCTTGCCCACATGCATCTGCAAATTGCCTTTCATGACAGAAAAAAGGAAATTTAAAACCCAGTCACCCCATCAACAAATGCATGGATAGGTAAACGATGGTATGTGTATTCACACAATGAAATACTACACAGCACTGAAAAATAATGAACTCACAAAACATTACACAATGTGATGAACCTGTAGGACACAATGCTCAGTGAAATAATCTCAGTCACAAAAGGACAAATACTGCCTAACACCACCACTGTTATAAAGCAGGTCTGATGTGGGGGGCATTGGGAGGCGAACAGGTAAAGAATGGAAAGATAATCAGCACTGCAGTGGAACAGATGAAGGAAGCAACTGTTTAAAAGGAATACGGGATTAGGCTTATATACATGACAACAGTTCAGAATAAGAGGTACATTGCAAAGTGGTTTGGGGGAAGGGGAGGGGAGGAGGAAGGAGGAAATCATGCAGCAATGAATAAATATTTAAAAAAAATGAAAAAGAAAGTGGTCTAGAGGGTGATGGGAGGGGAAGGGAGGAAAAGACACAACAATGAAAATCCAACTTCTCTATAAACTTCCACTAAAATCTCAATTAAAAGAAAAAAAATTTATGTAAAGCAAAATCAGTCACAGAAAAGTGCAACCCAATGTTGAGAGGCTAATATACTCTGTTTCCAAGAAGAATGTGGGCAGAGCAACTTTCAGGGGTTGTCTTGACGGATGGAGCTCAAGGAGGAACACTGTAATAGTGACGAGAAAGTTTACCTGAAGATTTCCTTTAGAAGCTTTACTTGGTTGTCAGGATATTTCTTTGCGTTGGTTTCTTCAAGGAAAGCGCGCGCGTAGGCCATTGGTCCAGCGTTAACCTAATGAGGAGAAGAGTACTGGTTAAGAATGGACGCTTTTCCTCGATGGAACCTTCTCTGACCTCAGTGTCTGGAATGCGTAGAAATGTAAGCACCAATCTTTCACACTGCTTTGAAGTCTACTCTGTTGTGTGCTCATCCCACCTGCTACCCATCAGTTAGTCCAAAAGCTACTAAACCATTGTCATCACACCGGCTGCAACTCACAAAGACTTTAAAGGACAAAACAGGACCTCCGCCTACAGGGAGCATGGCCGTAATCTTCACGGAAGCAAGTCGACACATATTTCTCCTGTGGAGAGTTCAAGGTACCGCTTTTTTCTGGTTGTCAGAGAAGCACTTAACCGTTGTACCACCACAGCTTCCTCAATGCTCTATTCATGGTTAGTCACTGCCTTCAAAACTGACGCGGCACTGACCCTCCAGCCAGTCTTCAGAGATGGTAAAGCCCTCAGGGGCAGACAGAGTCTCTTTCCCCCGCCGAGTGACTGGGGAGCTGGAACCAACAGAGGTGGCACCCTTTCTGAGTTCATGGTGCAGCTCCCTACAGCCTACTTCCTCAGCTTCCTCTCAGTAACTGACTCCTGTTAGAGGCTAGGAAGTCTAGTGCCACTCATAGCGACTCTATGGACATCAGATCTGAGCTCTGTCCTTTCTACTGTTGTTGGGTTCTACGGACTTCAGATACGAGTCATAGTGACCCAACGAACAGCAGACCAGAACCCCGCCTATCCTTCTCATCTCTGGCACACTAGAACCCACCGCTGAAGTCACTGTGTGAGTCCGTCTCACTGGGGCCTTCTTTTCATATGCTGACCCTTCATCTTTCCAAGCAACGTCTCTTTCCAAGGAACAGCCTCTCCTAGGAACGTGTCCAAAGTACGGGAGGAGAAGTGTCACTGTCTTTACCTCCAGGGAGCACCAGCTGCACTTACTCCAAGACATAGACAGTAATTCTTCTGTCTTACATTAATTTTTGTCTTACATTAATTCCACGTGATATTTCGCATTCTTATCTAACACCACAGCTCAAAGGCATGCATTCCTCTCTTGTTATCCGTGTTCAGTGTCCAGTTGTCACTGATTGGACCCTGAGTCATGGTGACATATGTGTGTCAGTGTTTTCAATAGCTGGTTTATCAGAAGTAAACGGTAAGCTCTTTCTTGAAAGGTGCCTCTGGTTGGGCTCAATAGCCACCCTTTTGATTAGCAGCTCAGCAGAACAACCTTTGCACATCTTGGAGAAGACACAGGCATAGTGCTCCTTAAGGCAAAGGCGGGGAAGCTGTGTCTCACTTTGGACACGTTGTTCATTGGTGGTTGGTGTGTGTCATCGAGTTGGAACCGACCCATAGCTGACCCTCCAGTGAGCTTTCAGAGGCAATTAATCGCAGGAGACTGTCCATCCTTTTTCCACGGACCAGCTAGTGGATTTGAACCAGGTGCTTCTGCGATTGCAGTGCAGCTTATAATTACTAGGCCACCAGAGCTCCTGCACCAAAGTAGGAGAGGGACCAAGAGTGAATCTGACAATTTTGTAATGGGAAAGTGTCTTTCGCTGGCTATTCTGGGTAAAGTGTTTCTCAGATACTGGACTAAAGTTGAGAATCCAAATTAGGACAGACTAGGAAGAATGACTGGCCATCCACTTCTGAAGTAACTTGCCTTCAGAAACACTATGATACTTAGACTAGTAGAAACACATTGGAGGCTAAGCCTTCTTCCTGGGAAACACAAAATGAACAGGAACAGTTGCAATCAGCCACTAATAATTAGAATGTGGACTCTAAGATGTATGAATGGAGGGAAACTGGACACTGTTAAAGAAGAAGTGGATCATAAATATTGACATACTAGGCTTTGGAGAGCTGAGAACAGATTGGCCATTCTCAATCAGACAATCATATGACTTACTACACCGGAAATGAAAAAGAGAGGAATATGGGATTACATTCATAGCCAAAAAGACCATTTCTAGACTAATTCTGAAATACTATTAGTGAATGATAGGACAGTATTCACACACATACAAGGGAGACCTGTTAATACCACTACTGTTCGAATATATGCACCAGCGACTAGAGCCAAAGAGGAGCAAACAGAAAACTGCTACCAATTGCTGCACTCAGAAGTTGATCAAACATGCATCCAAGATGCATTAATAATAATGGGCATCTGGAATGTAGAAGTTGAGAATAGGGAAGAAAGATCAGTAGCTGGAGAATACTGACCTGGTGACAGAAACGAGGCTGGAGATAGAATGATAGAAGTTTGTATAGTCAATGATTTATTCATTGCAAATACCTTTTATAAAAAACACAACTGGCAACTATACAAACAGACCTCACCTGATGGTCTACACAGGAATCAGATCAATTACATCTGTGGGAAGAATTTTTGGAGAAACTCAATATCAGCTGTGAGAACTAGGCCAGGTACTGACTCCTTTACAAGTTCAAACTGAAGCTAAAAAAACAAAACCAAATCCACAAGAACCAAAATATGAGCTTGAGGTTACCCCATCTGAATTTTAAAACCATCTCAGGAACAGGCTTGAGGCGTGAACACTAATGAATGAAGACCTATGAGCTGTGGAAGGATATCAAGACTATCAGCCAGGAAAAATGAGAGGTCATTACGAGGACAGAGGAAGAAGAAAAGACCAGAATGGATGTCAGAAGAGACTCTGAATATTGCACTAGAGCGCCAAGAAGCCAAAGCAAAGGGAAGACATGAAGAAGTTAAGGAGCTGAACAGAAGATTTCAGTTCAGGAAGACAAAGCAAATTATTATAACAAAATGTGTAAAGAGCAGGAGTAGGAAAATGAAGAGACGAGCTCGCTTCTCAGAATTTCTTAAGCTGAAGGAACTGAAGAACAAATTAAAACTGAGTTTCAGTACTTAAAGAAGTCATAGGCAGAACAGTGAATGATCCAGGAAGCACTGATGGAAGACGGAAGCAGTATATAGAGTCACTCTTTCAAACAAAATTGGCTGACACCGAAAAACTTCATCCAACAAAATAGAATCAAGATGCAAAGGTGAAGAAAGAGGACGTTCAAGCTGCTGTGAAGGAACTGGCAAATAAGGTGGCCCCAGGTATTGATGGAATAGCGACTGATATATTTCAGCAAACAGAAGTTGACCTGGACATCCTCAACAGGTTGTGCCAAGAAATCTGGAGCATGACTACCTGGCCAACTGCCTGTAAGTGATCTGTATTTATACCCACTCGAAATAATCATCCAACAGCGTGTGGAAATTATCGAACAATATCACTAATTTCACATGCAGGCAAAATCCTACTGAAGAGTAGCCCCAAAAGACTGAAACAGTACATCAACAGAGAATTTCCAGAAGTGCAAACTGGGTTTAGAGAAGGCCATGGCACTAGGGACATTACTGCCAATGTCAGATAGATCTTGGCTGAAAGTACAGAGTACCAGGAGAAAGTCTACTTACATTTTATTTGCCATGCAAAAGCATCCGACTGCATGGATCACAACCGATTTTGGCTAACATTGAGAAGAGCAGGAATCCCAGAACACTCGGTGCTGCTCATGCAAGCCAGTCCTCGGAGGAGGCCATCATGCTTGGAAGGGAGGAGAGACAGCACAGGAGGGAAAGACTCTGGATGAGATGAATTGACACAATGACTGTGTCAGAGACAGGAGACTGGCACAACATAGGTCAGGGTTCAGAGCTATTGCTCATAAGGTCACTATAAGTTGTCAACTCAATGATGACACTTAACCACCACCACCCTTGAAAAGAGACATCATGCTTGGAAAGGAAGGACAGTGAAAGGAGAGGAAGACCTTCAACAAGACGGACTGAACATTAACTTCTTCCGCAATGGGCTCAAGTGTGCCAGAGACCATAAAGAGGGCACGGGATAGGATGGGGTTCAGATCTCCTGTTCACAAGGTTGCTATGAGCTGCACTTGAACTGATAGTCCCTAACAGTGACAATGGCTAGAGGTCCATCTGAACCACATAATACACTCTTGCTCACTTGGTATTTTAGTCCTGTTTGTGTACTTATTTTAGACTTTTATCTGCATATTATCTGTGGTGGGAAAGATTTGTTTTTATCTATCCAAGTACATTTACTTGAATTAATATTTATGAAAGAAATTATCTGATCTGCTCATTAATCACTCTGAATTAAAGACAGGCGGAAATGGTAGTGATGGACATACCATCCTAGATTAAAACTATGTTCACAATATTCCACCTGGCCGTGGGACTCAGTGGGATTTACTTCCAAGGGCTTATTTATTAGATGATTTATTATTGCCAGGCTCAATTTATGCTCACCTAATGAAGAAATAGCCTCATACTGAAGGAGAGGCTGTACCACCTACCACATACAACCTTCCATTTGACTCTTGATTTTGGAATGAATAAGAGAAAGGAAGAGGCAAGCCACACCTTTCTGAAGAATTTTGAGATGCCCAGGACCACAGGCATGGCCAGTGCAGTGGGTGGCAAGGGGCGTGCAGGCATTTGGTGTTCTACCAAATCACCTGCCCTCTTCTCCCCACAGATCTGTGCTCAGGGACACTGTCTCCTGTGGACCATAAGGACAGCACTCTGGTTTCCTGGCTTTTTTGCTGGGATCAGACAGTAAACGACACAGAGATGAGATGGGTAGGTGAGAAGGAGAGAGAGGTCAGCACTGGAATAGGCAGGTGCTGGACGGTTCATCCTTTGTCTGAGGCACAAACCCAGCTTAGCTGAGCACTAGGATTGACCCTGTCTTTGCTTAAAATATTAAAATTCTGTTCATCATAGATTTTGCCTTATTTCTGAAAAAAGAACTATTATTATACTCATTTCTGAATTTTGGAGATCTCCTTGTCAGGGTATGCAGCCCAGAGGTGAATCCTTTTAACTGTCCAGTAAAAGGCACACCTTTGTGGCATGAGGCAGCACTCAGGGTGCCCTGTCTGCCTTCCATCAGTCTTGCGTTCTCCTTACAGCTTTATGTCTGCTGTTTGGTGGTGTTAGGTGCCATCGAGTTGCAAAGGACACATAGCGACCCTGTGATAGTTAATGGCTCTGCAGTGTTGCTAACTCTTAAATCAGCCCTTGGTGGTTTTCCTGAACACTAATTAGATTTTTAGGGAGTTCTGGTGGTGTTTGTGGGGTGTAAGGTCTTGAGCTGCCAACGCAAAGGAAGTGCCTCCCTGATTGTTTCAGTCACTAGTGGTTCTGTGGAAGAGGGAAAGTCTTCTCCTGTGACTCACAACTTCCTGAAAGCCCGCTGGGAGGTCATCTCTGAGTCAGTTCTGACAGGTCTGACTCAACAGCGATGAGCTTTAGAGTTTGAATCATACTCTTGCAAATTTATCTAATATATTCCCAGTCCCTTCCAGAGAACTGACACCTCATTCCTTTTAAGACCCCGGCACTGAAACACTGCAGACCACATTATGAAGTAGTGAATCTCTTTAGAATTTGTCTTTGAACAGTTTGATAAGGTTCCTATTGCCAAGTGCACGAGAGAGAGAGGCTTATCTGTTCATTTCCTTTACAGGGTTATAGGGCTGATTTTTCCCAGATTAGAAGAGAGAAAAAACACAGTTCATTTCAAATCCCGAGGGGTCCCTAACCAAAAGGTCGGTAGGTTCGGTGAACCCTGGCAATGAGTTTCTAGAAAGATTGAAGCCAAGGAAACACTCCAGGGTTCACAACAGCAAACCTAAGAAAGGCATATTTTAGGGAGGCCTCTGAGAGCCTCAACATGTATTTTAAGAACCCACAGGAAGGTCTTAGCACTGTGGACCAAAACCAGAAAAATGCTTCTTACATCTTTAGTATAAAACCATCCTAAGGGCGCTGCCTTAACTGTGGGGCCCACTCACCTTCACACTCACGCTTCCCTGGAGTTTCAGCTGCAGTCTGATCATGTCCACATCTTCCGTGGTGCAAAGCTGATTGAGCTCTGAGACCTTCTTGGACATTTCGTCAATGGCCACTTCAATGGGGTTCAATTCAGTGCTTGACTGGCTGACGACTTGAATCCTTTTCTTCACGTAGGGGAATAAGTGGCTTGCTGCACAGAGGTGACAGGGGGGGATTCAAAAGTGGACAATTAGTGAAGAGTCAAACATTCCCTTAACCCTCAAAGGATCTCGTGTCTTTTCATTCCACGGAGCTCATGCTACTCTGCGTGTTATTTCTATTCAAGAGCTTTTTTTTCCCTCCTACGTGCCACACCCTCACAGTTCCTAGTTATTTGTGTTGATGAGCTGTTTTTTCCTCCTATGCACCTCACCCTCTCACAGTTCCTACTTATTTGTGTTGATGAGCTGTTTCTCCTCCTACGTGCCCCACCTTCTCACAGTTCCTAGTTATTTGTATTTATAAGCTGTTTTTCCTCCCACGCGTCACACCCTCTCACATAGCCTTGTTCTTGCCCAGTCACTTGGTTTGAAGATGTTCTTTCTCTTTGTTATCTCATCCTCAGGGACGAACCTTTAGTCTCTCAAGATTAAAAACCATTATAGCTCTTCTTAAGAAGATGGTGCAGACAGATTAGTGGTAACGACTTTATATGGGATACAGAGTCTATGAATGATTTTATGAAACACAATGTAAATGAGGGATTGTATGGAACACAATATATGTGAATGAAACACAATGCAAATGGATTATTGAATGAAAACCAATAAAAACTTTAAAAAAGAAATTCTAGCTCTTTTTAGCAATATTTGATTCCCATAAAAAGCTACACCAAACACAATAATGAATGCTTGGCTATATAAGAACTTTAGTGGTGTAATGTGTCATTGGGCTGCTATCCAAAAAGTGGGCTGTTTGGATCCACTAGCTGCTCCTGGAGATAGATGGGTGGTGGTCTCCCGTCAAGATGTATAGCTCGGAGATCTGGGGGAGGGTCACCATGAGTCAGAAATGACTCAGTCATGTCTGTTTGCTTGGCTTTGGCGTTTAGTATGTATTGTAAGGATCTCTGGTGGTGCAGCACTTACGAGTCTGGCTGCAATCAAAAGTTAGGTGCCTCAAACTCATCCGCTGCTCCTGGGAGGACAAAGCAGTCTGTTTTGGTAAAGACTGCATTCTGGACACCGTATGGGGACGATTCTACTCTTTCCTATAGGGGCACCAGAAGTGTAATCGATTAAACAACAGGATTGATTCAGGAGTTTGGAATAGAATACAAGAGCTTTAGGGAGCTCTAAGTGGCATGGTTTCCAGGGAATTGCAGTTCCAATTCAAAGGCCACACCTCTCTGGTGGTTCAAATCCACTCAGGGCTCAGCGGGAAATAGATGGGCAATTTCTTCCTATGTGATTCACAGCCGCAGAAACCCAGTGGAGGGTCATCTATGTGTTGCTTCCAACTAAATGACAAGCAGAAAGAGAGAAGGAGAACTTATGAGTTGATTCCAGCTCAGCGACAGGGATAGAGACAGAGAGACAGAGAGAGGCAGAGAGAAAAGGGAAGAGATAAGAGAGAGAAGCTTTGTTTAAAAAAAGTATTACAGAATTTCTGGATATGTTGTTTTAAGATGGATGTTTCTTTTTTTTTTTTACAGAGGATTTGGATTTCCATTCATTCATTGCCGCAATTTTCTCCCTGCCCACCCCTCCCCACCAGCTCACTTCCCCCTCCGAAGAGAGAAAAAAAAAAGAAAACAAAATTCCTTCATTAGTATACAATTCCCACGTCCCTTCCCCCCACCCCCCACCCCGAGTACACTTCTCTATGCAACCTTAATTCTGGATTCCTGTGCTAACCATAATACTCAATCATATATCACTTCTAATCTGTTCTTTCCCTCATCTGTTTCAATACAATATACATAATTTATCCAGTTTTTTCTGTCATACCCCCACCCTGATGTCAGACCCATTCTACAACAGTGGCACCATGCAATATTTGTCCCTTTGTGACTGAGATATTTCACTCAGCATAATGTCCCCCAGGGTCACCCACTTTGAATAATATTGCATGAGTTCCTTGTTTTTCAATGCTGCGTAGCATTCCATTGTGTGGATATACCACAGCTTCTCTATCCATTCATTTGTTGATGGGTCCTTAGGCTGCTTCCAACTCTTTGCTATTGTAAACAAAGCTGCAATAAACATGGGTGTGCATATATCTGCTTGGATGGCAGACATGGTCTCTCTGGGGTATATTCCCAGTAATGGGATTGCTGGGTCAAATGGTATCTCTATTTGCAATTTTTTGAGAAAGTGCCACACCGTAAGGTGGATGTTTCTTATAATTAGCTATCATATTATAGAATTTCTGGATATGTTTTTTTAAATAATTTTTTAAATTTTATTTATTATTTTTGTGTGAGTGTACCGTCAAATCAGATCTGACTGGTACAGGAGGAGATTGTCCCTCCTTCCCCGGCAGAGCATCTGGTGGATTCGAACCGTGCACCTCTGGGATTGTAGTTGCAGCTCCTTACCACTAGGCCACCAGAGCTCCCCTTGGATATGTTGTTTTAAGGTGGATGTTTGTTATAGTTTAGCTATCCTATTCCTCTCTCGGGCTGTGGAATAACCTAGTACAGCTTATGTCTCAAGCAGCTGAAATAGAATTGCCTCCAGATTCCCTTCGTTCATCTCCTGCTCCCTCAGTCAGTCCCAGGAACCCCTGCTGGTGGTCTGACCTCATCCTCACGCTGTGACCCCCTGGCACTGCCGATGTACTTGGCTCTTTTCCCCACCAGGCTGCAAACAGGCTGAACACAAGATTCATGTTTTATTTATTTTGAGTGTCAGTTAATGGCCATGCACTGAATGCATGGTGAGCCGGTGTAAGGACTGTACTAACTCATAGATCTCACAAGGTCTGGGAGGGGCAGAAGAGAGCACTGTCTGCACACATTTCACAGATGAGTAATTCGAATCCCAAAGTTGTTCAGAATTCTGCCTAAAAGCACAGAATTATGAGAGCTACTGGTGCTTTGGTGGAAGGAATCACGCTGCCAATGCCATGGTGCGTGGTTCAAATCCAGCAGCTGTTCCATGGGAGAAAGATGGGTAATCTTCTCCAGTGTGGTTTACTGCCTCTGAAAACCCCTGCAGGTTGGTCAGCTGCGAGTCAGTTCTGACTCGACGGTACAGTACTACAATAAGAAGTCTGAAGGGACAATGGAGGTAGCTTAAGGGAGAAAGGAGAGGAAGTTAGAGAATGCTTTCCCCAAAACCTGGACCACTTGGCCCTGACGATGATGAGATCGGAAGGGAAGAGCTGGGTAAAGTAACTCCAGTGACAGCTTCCCCTCTGGATGGCTTCCCAAGGGTCTCGCTCTGCCTGTCACCCTCAGAGGCGTGTGACAGAGATGCATTCTACTCCCAAGGCTCCTCAACAGTCTCTATGCAATAAGGCTTTATTCTGAGGTTCTTTTGGGTGGACTCAAACCTCCAACCTTTCAATTAGCAGCTGGGCCTGCAGGTCAATTGCACCACCCAGGAACTTTCATCACAGACTGCATATAGTGCTCCTACGAATCTGCTCCTCCAGACCACTGTTTGTAAGTTAGGACACTTTGGTTATGTTACTGCTTTTCACCCAATGGAAGACCCAGCCTTGAAGTACGATCTCACGCCTGCAGCTTCACCTACTTGTGAGGATGGTCCTACGTTTGCACTGTTCCTCCACTCCGCCGTGCTTCTTCCCCGAGAGCGTGAAGGGCGTCTCAAACACGAAGCGATTGATGTTGTGATGCATTTCAAAATCCGTCTTCCGGTCCTCTATCTCCTTCTCCTCAAAGAATGGCGTCACGTAGGTCACCTGGATGTAGGCATACTTGGGGTCCAGATCCTTGGGGTTGACCTGTAGTGAGTGACACATGGGCAAAGAAAAAGTAGTGAGCTGTGGAGTAACTGCAAGAAGCTTTGTATTCCCTGTTCGATCTCAAAATGCTGTCTTGTGCCCCTGGGAGAAAAACGGGCACCCCTGTAATTTCAAGGCTGGACAGGATTTCAGAAAGGGCGGCTCTGGGCTCCAGCAGTTAGAAGAGAGGTAGGAACTGTCTCTCCCGATGCTGAAATTCTGCAATAAAAATACTCATGTTCACCTATTCTGCTTTCTGTAATGATTGTCCAATAACCTTGGTCCAAAAGGCAAACGTCTTGAATCACAAGCATACCTCTTTGACCCTTTATGATTTAGCTAAACTGAGATTAGAACTTGAGCTTGTAATAAGGTGGGTGTTACTCTAGTCTAGTCAACGGTCCATCACATAGTTTCATCTATTTTTATTTTTCATTTCTCAAGGTTTTCCTCCCTCTTTAATAAATAATTTGACATAATAAATGTTTCTAAATGACTTTGTAACTTTTTCAAGGGTCTTGGTCGATACCCCTGGAGGAATGGGCTTTGACTCAGAGTGATGCTGTGCATGAGAATGAGACACCAGCCTCTCCCGTACCTTCTCAAAATCATTGCTAAGTTCATGACTGTTGTTGAAGCCAATTTATCTTTTTGAGGTTGTTGCTCTTTTTTGTTGACCTACAACTTCAGCAAATATGGTATCTTCTCCAGAGACAAGTCCTTCCTGGTAATATACACGGAGCAGGTAAGATAAAGCTGCCTGTCCCCATATCTAAGGAGCGTGCTAGCTGCTCTTTCAAACCAGAGCTGACCCTTCCCCTGGCAGCCCAGGATATACTTTCCCACCACCATTATGTGAAAGCAGCAATTATTTTTCAGTGTTTTTTATTCATGGTCCAGTTTTCATATGCTTTTGAGGTGAATTAAAAGGTGATATCTTGGAGAAACAGCACAGAATATATACGGGGAATCCCAGGACACATCCTTCAAGGCTCCATGAGATGATTTTTAGTACCTTTAATACGGTGCTTAAAAATCTTACAAACTTCTCTTCTCTCTCCTCATCTGTCCATCCACTGAATATTCATCCAATTCAGGAAATTTGAGAAAGCTCACAATTGTATTAGTGATGCCACTAATAAAATATTGTAAGGTGGAAAATAGTAACCATGTCACAGTTGAAAAAAAATGGAGGTCGAGGTTGGTCAGCTAAGTTCTACAACATCACCTGTGGTGAAATGGAGATGTCAGTTGTTTTGACCCCAGCTTTGGCCTTTCACCCAGAACTCTACCCATTTTCTACTTAGGAATACCACGGCGTGAGTGATTACACATCTGCCTCCCTTGAAGGGAAAACATATCTGCAGCTTTCAAGCTCCCAAAGGTAATATTCTCAACTTCAACTCAAGCTCAGTGACCTCATTTCTTTTTTTTAATTAATTTTAATGAAAGTTTACAGAGATTTAGAGTTTCCAGTCATCCATTGTTGTACTTTTCTCTCTGCCCACCCCTTTCCCCCAATTCACTCTTCTCCTTGACAAGAAAAAGAAAAGCTCTTTCATTGCTATGCAATTCTTCCTCACAAGCCCACTACACTGTAAAGCCTTCAAGACTCCTGTCATGACAATAATACCTAATCACATATCCATTTTAAACAGTTTTCTGGCTCACAGTGATCTCATTTCTACAATTTTCTAAATACCAGCTTTGTAAGAGAACAGGAAGAAGCAAGCAGACCTTACACAACTGGCACCAACCAGCTTTTCCATCTCTGTCTCCTGAGATCTGCTATTGTCTAAGCAAAGATCTCCCTTTAATTTAGTTGTGCTGTCGTACACACTGGTGCTTCTCAAATGCCCTCTGCTTCCAGTAAACTTCTCCTCACTCTTCAATTCACAGACCAAACCTCCCCTCGTCTGTGAAGTGTGGCCTAAACAAGAATGGGCTGTTCTAGAGAGTTTCACTGTGTAAGGTGGACCTGGTCTTCCCAGTTACACTCACTGCATGCTACTGAATGAGCTCTGTGCCCGTCCTCCTCTTCTTCTTGGCCCCACGGGAACTGTCAGCGGCAGAAGGCAGAGGCACTGCATGTACGAGGGCAGCTTCTGTGGCAGGGTCTGTGGGGAGGCGTGCTGCTGATCTAAAGGGTGCTGCGATCCACCCGTGGGTCCTCGGAAGAAAGATGGGCAGCCTCCCCCATGTCCTTTACAACCTCTGAAAGCTGGCTGGAGGGTCAGTTATAAGTTGGCTGTAACACAATGGCAATGAGCAGAGCTGTGCTAAATCCTATTAGATATGTTGTTGTTGTGTGCTCTTCACGCAGAACTGACTCAGCTGATGTTCCAGTAGGTTTTTCGGAGGCAGTAAACTGCACAGGAGGAGACTGCCCAGCATTCTTCCATGGAACAGCTGGTGGATCTTGTCACTGGGCTGATTGGCAGCATCATGATAGATGGTGAAGATACTGAGATTGTTGACAGCTTCAGTTTGCTTGGCTCTACAATCAAGACTCTTGGTACCAGCAGCCAGGAAATGAAAAGAAAAATTACATTGGGAATGTCTTCTGTCAGAGACCTCCCCAAGGTACTGAGGAGCAATGATGTCAGTCTGGAGATAAAGGTGCGCTTGACCCAGGCCATGGTCTTTGCCATTACTTGCTATGCACCAGAGAGTTGGACAATGACTAGGGATGATAGAAGCAGAGTTGATGCCTTTGAGCTGTGGTGCTGGAAAAGAGTATTGAATATATCATGGACTGTTAGAACAAACAAGTTCAACCTGGAGAGGGTGAGTTCAGGCTGATCCTTGGAGGCAAGGATTCTGAAGCTTCATCTGACATACTTTGGTCCTGTTGAAGAAGGGACCAGTCCTTAGAGAGGGACGTCATACTTGGGAGAGTGGAGGGACCGTGCAGGAGAGGAAGAGTCTGGATGAGATGGATCGATTCCGTCACTGGGGTAATGTGGATAGGCGAGTCGGAGACAGTAAGATTGGCAAGGGTTAGAACAGGGTTTAGAGCGACTCAGTGGCACATAACAACAAAAACAAGCCTTCGTTTAACAGTACAATTTCTTACTCACTAGGCTACCAGAGGTAGGCCAGGGGAGTTAGGCTGAATAAAAAAAAAAAAAGAGAGAGAGATTAGAAGATTCTGTGTAGTCTAATGTGAGGATAAAACAACAAAACGTATTTCAAAACTACAGTTTTCAAGTCCTCAAAGATCTCTTTGACTTTCAATTTGCTATTGAAAGGCTTTGATGGCTACCCACACATAAATGATAGAGATGGAAGAAATATACCATTTAGAAAACTGTTTTATAAAATACCTAAGATCACGTGGATGAGCACCCTTTTATTTTTGACAAAATGACATTACCAACCAACCAACCAACCACTATGGTAAACAAACATCTAGTTAAGGTGGTGATTTTTCAGTGAGGCCAAGTATTTCATTAAAGAGAGTTTCCCCAGCCATCGGTGAGCTCTGGTTACTGGCACGGACGTTGATTTTCATGTACCTTGTTGGAGTCCTGGATGATCTTCACATTGTCTGCCCCGAATTTATCCGCGTAGAGCTTCAGAAGCCTTTGGGAAATCTCAGAGAGGCCTGTTAGCTTGGGCTCTTTATAAATATACTCCTTGCCCTCTTCTTCTTCAAAAAAGCCCTATGGGAGAGAGATCGTGATCACCAGACTTTAATCTAGAACGTCACATAAATATCACAAGACCAAAAAAATCACTTAAAAAATGCCAAGTTTTTATTCGTCATCCAAGGAATCCTGTAAATGTAAAACTAGAAGAGAATGAGGTTAAAAAAAATTAAAACTATTATGTTAGAATCTGGTATTAGTACAGGTCTTACCTTGTCAGCTCCAATAATCTCTGAAGTACTTTATGCATATTGCTGTTTGTGGAAATGAATGGGATTACTGGCTTGCATGATTTATGAGGAAGTTTGCCCATGTGGACGTTTGGGGTAAAACACAAAATTGAGAACAATCACGGCACTACTCAAAGAGCCATATCATTTTTTGTTAAGACAATCTATATACATCCTTCAAGCTAGCATGAGACACATTGTGTAGCTTGGAAAAGTTCCTAGGTGACTCAAATATACATTCCACATGATTTTAAAAGAAAACCATAATACTTTGTAACATTGTCACAACAGAACATACAGACAACCCTACAAAAAACAGATCTGAACCCTGTCCTATCCTGTGCCATCCTCCCTATTTCTAATACACTTAAGCCCACTGCTGCAGTCACTGAGTCAGTCTATCTCTTTGGGGGGGCCTTCCTCTCCTTCACTGACCTTCCATCTTTCCAAGCATGATGTCTCTTTCCAAAGAATGGTACTTTAGAAATGCAATATATTTTGTAATTGTTATGAACTGCCCCCTGAGGACTGCCTTAGCTGTGTCCCAGAGGTTTTGACATAGAAAGAATTTTCACAGAGGAAGATATCTGAATGGCAAACAGACACATGAAGAAATGCTCTAAACCACTGGCAATACGAGAGATGCAAATCAAAGCCACAATGAGGCACCATTTCACTCCAGTAACAGTGGCAAAGTTTAACAGGGCAGCAAGTAATAAATGTAGGAGAGGATGTGGAAAGATATGAACTCTTATACATTGTTGGTGGGATTGTAAAATAGTACAACCATTATGAAAGGCAGTTTGGTGCTTCCTCAAAAAGCTGAACACAGAAATTCCATATGACCAAGCTATTTCACTACTTGGAATATACCCTGAGAAAATCAGAACTGACGTCCAAGTGGAGATTTGTACACCAGGGTTCATAACAGCATTATTCATCATCGCAAGAACATAGAAACAGCCCAAATGTCCAACCACAAACGAATGGATTTACAATTTATGGTACATTCACACAATGGAATACTATGAAGCAGCATGCAGGAGCAATGATTTTGTAAATTATTACCTAACTTGAGAGGGACTGGAGAGCATTACGCTGAGTGAACGAACTCAGTCCCACAGGATAAATGTTGTATAGAACCATTATTGTAGAAGGAGTATACGGATCCAAGAGCAAGTATAAAGAAGTATAAGGATCTTGAATAACAAAACGGAGATAATAATTTTCAAGCTAAACATGCTTCTTTCACTTCATGCCAAAAGGTTTTGGTCAAAATTCTGAGATCCATTCATACAAAGGAAGGCATATTTGAGAATCATGGATATATATCCTTCAGGGAACAGTGACCAGCGTTGTTTTAATTGATTTAATTCCAGGGGTATTCAGGTTTTGCAAATATGCAGCGGGAATTGCCTTGTTCCTTTCATGAATATCAGTGTCTAAGAACGTCCTTGACTACAGCTGTCGTTTGATCATGACATTCATTTCATTACTCTGGAAATGAGCACTTGCCGAGGATGCTTTCTACAGTCACCTGTGTGGAATACTTCCAGAGCCATGATGCCAGCTGCTGCATTAGAAATTTCATGCCACACACACAGAGGTTGCATTTTCAAGGTTCCTGCAGTGAAATCAGTTTTCTAATATCCAGGTCATTGCACTTAATGCAATTAAGTGCACTTAGTGCAATTAATGTTAAATATTCTAACCTGTGCTGTTGTTGATTGCCATAGAGTTGCACATGACTCGTAGCGACTCTATGAACAAAAGACCTGAGGCCTTTCTAGAACTATCGTTTCTCCAAGCTCATAGAGTTTCCAGAGGCACGTTGTTCAGGAAGTGGATGCCACTCTTGCTTCCAAACTTGTCTTAAAACTGGGAGCTCCACCAAACATTGTCCACCATGGGCAGCCGTTATGGCATTTGAGACACCAATGGTACAAGGTTCAGCATCACTGCAAACCCAGATTACCTCCGTGCAGCAAATTGACAGAAGAGTGCTGTACAATTTAGAAGAATGTTCCTCCAAAATATAGTAGCAAGGGATTAAAATATAATCCCTCAGGCCCAACTTTTAACTACAAGGGTTCTCCAGGAGGTCTTATTGACTCTAAACAAGAGCCTTAGATAAAAAACCAAAACAACAAAACATTCCACACTGACCCTCAACCAAAACAAGAGAGCCCATCATATTGAGTCCAGTCGCTTCACCTGGTCTCCAAAATGGTGACAAGGGGTTGGCCTTAAATACAAGTATCCACCTGGAGGTATTGCTGACTCTAAACAAAGGGCTTAAATAAAAACAATAAAATAATCCACACAGATACTCCACCAAAACCAGAGCACCATCGTACAGAGCCCAGCTGCATCATCCAAGTCCAAAACGGAAGACAAGGACTTGGTGTTATATGTTATATATCCTAACCTATATATATACCATACACTAAAACACTGGTCCTACAACATGCTAAAATAAGTTGCCAAAGACCCAAGTGGATGAAAAGAACCTATTGTAAATTATATTCCTATAATATCTATAATTATTTACAAAGTTGTGCGCTGTGTCCACAACAACAAACACCACCACACTCTTTGTAATAACACACTGTGTGGCATTAATTTAGATGTTAAGAAGTGCTCTTTTGCAGGGACCTCAAGTGCTATCATGAAAAAGAAGTTATTTCTGTACATGTTCTGGGGGGAACGTTCAAGTCCGTTTGGTGTATATTATCAAATGTGAGGAGATGTGCACTGTCTACTGCTGAGTTCTATAGCTCACCACACACATGGAGTGTCTCAGGAGAGACAACAGCGGATATCATTTGGGCAAAGATGACTGAGGTTCTAATCAGGACAACCTTGATGAGTTCCGATTGTTCAGAGTGAGCAAGTGCTTAAAATTAGAGGTTGCTGTGTTCAGAGATGGGTGGGAACTTTGGTGGCAGAGTCCTGAGAGCTGTGCAGCTAACTCCAAGGCTGAAAGTTCTGGTGGTTCAGATCCACTAGCAGTTTAGAGGGAGAAATACGGGCAACATTTTCCCAGGTGATTTACAGCCTTGGACACCCAGTGAGATCCTGAGCAGGTAAAGACTGAATGACATTGAAGGGGTGGGGGGAGACAGAGAAGGAATGCTCTCAGGTTTGCAAATGTAGTAAAATCATTTGCCCAGGTTGAATTTTTTTATAAAGATAAATGACAACTGAGAATACTGGCAGCATTAAAACAAACAAACAAAAATAAAAAGAGCAAAGGCATACAGTCATTCCACTTTACTGAGGCATCTGGAAAAAGAAAAAGTTAAGTCATTTGAAACTCAGTCCCCTCCATCCAACCCCGTTATCTCCCGGGGCCAATTTAGTACAGGAGTTTTTCCAGCATTCTTTTAGTAGATGAATTAAGGACCCAAGACCCCCAGCTGTAAAAATGAAGGCAGAAAATATTGGTATGGTAGGTAAGGGGAAAGATTTTAAAGAATTATAAAAATGTGTGAGCTAGACAAATAAGCAGAGTGAATCTGTACAACGTGCAGCATTTTGAGGAGCTTTTCAGCTTCTCCAACAGTGAAACTCAACCATATGAAGTTGCCAATTTTGTAGGTTAAAAAAAAAAAAAGATTGGTTAAAGGCAATTTCATATGGCCCAAGCAATTTCTAGTCTTAAAGGCCTAGATGTTACCAGCTTTTTCTACTTTGGTTTGTTCTTGAAGTTTAGAACATCACTTTTTTCCTTTCTTTCTTTCTTTCTTTTCTTGAGATTGACAAAGTAAAGATTTATTCCACTGTCTACCTTGTGTGTTGGGATGTGCACTTTGATCGTTCCCATTATTCCTGAGAAAAGAGCTTGCCACCAGCAAGTTCCTTCTCTCCAAAATACTCTTTTGGTAAAAGGTGGGGTCTTTTCAACACTCTTGGGAAGTAAACCTCTATAATTGTCTTTCCAACTCTAAAATTCCAACCACCATGGTCTAATTAGGATTTAATTTATAGTAACTGGAAGTGAGTCGGCAAACTTCAATACTGAACTATTTATATGTTTTAAATATTGTTGCTGTTATATGCCATCAAGTTGGAACCGACTCATAGCTGACCCTCCAGCACATTTTCAAAGGTTGTAAACTGCACTGGAAGAGACTGGCCATCTTTTCCCATGGAACAGCTGGTGGATTAGAACTGAATGCCTTTGGATTGGCAGAGCAACTCCTTACCATCACCAGAGCTCCTTATATTTGAAATAAGGAGTATTCACACTAATCTCTGAGGAAGTAAACTCTCAGATTACCTTTGGGTAGAAAGATAATACACAAAAAGGAAAAGATACCGTTTTTGTAATTCTGTTAGCTGGAAGAAACCTAATTTAGTTCAAGAAATGCAGAATGACTAAAAAATGAATGGGAGCAGGATTAGATCACTCTTTGAATCAAAATTTGCACCAAAATGTTATGGTTCAGTCTAACCATGTGGATGGAGATGTGAGGACTATTAGAGCATGCAAAATGAAGGGAGGGCAGGAGACAGAGAGAGAAGAAACTTACCACAGCCTGCAGCCACCAACACCAAAGGAAGAAAAGAGCAAATATCGGCATTAAAACCCAGCTGATAAGCAGCACAATCTATTTCAACTCGCTTATCGACTTATATCCTAGGTGTAGACTGAGGGAAACCACCAGGCAAACAATCTGCTTTTTCATGATCATGAGTAAAAATATAATAATAATAATAACAGAAGTTATTAATGAATAAAAAATAAGTTCATGACTTTTCTGTTGGAAAGCTGACCTGAGCTTTGGCAGAGTTAAGCCCTGGTTAGCCAAACACATATACTGTATGTGACTGAATCTGGTGCTGTTCAAGCAATCTGCGCTTTCCCCCTTGAAACTCTATCTTTACCCCTGCAACCTTCACCTCTCACCTCTATTTTCCAATATGTGTGTGTGTTTGTTTATGTATGTGTCTGCCTGTCTACCTATCTATCTATCTCTCTATCTATCTATCTATCTATCTATCTATCTATCTATCTAATCTATCGTTTTTGTTAATTGTCATTGAGACGTAAATGACTCATAGCGACCCTATGAATGAAAGACCAGAACACTTGTATAACTTTCATCATTTCTCCAAGTTCATAGAGTTTTCAGAGGCAGACTATTTCGGAAGTGGATGCCACTCCTGCTTCCAAGCTTGTTTTAATTGGGGAGTTCCACCAAACAGTGTCCACCATGGGTAACCATTACCACGTTTGACACATCAGTGTCACAGTGTTTAGCATCACAGCAACCATGAGTTACCTCTGTACAGCAAATGGACAGACCAGTGCTATACCACTTAGAAGGATGTTTGACCAAAACAATTAAAACCAGACCTGAGGGCCGCAGATTAAACTCACCCACCTCTGGCTATCCACATGTATATTTGTTTTATAGATAACATGTATATATGTTGTTGTTATGTGCCATCAAGTCATAGCAAACCTAAGAACCACAGATCTGAACCTTGTCCCATCCTGCACCATCCTCAGCATTCCTGATATGCTCCAGGAGGGAACTGGAGAAGAGTCCTGACTATCCCACAGATTGGCAAAAGAACAAATAGATAGGTTTTGGAGAAAGCGCACTCAGAGTGCTCCTCAGAGGCAGGGATGACGAAGCTTTGTCCCACATACTTTGGCCTTCTTGTTGTTGTTGTCGTCGTTATGTGCCATTGAGTCGTTTGCGACTCATAGCGACCCTATGTACAACAGCTCTAAACTCTGCTCTGTCCTGTGCCAATCGCACTGTCTCTGACACTCCCATCCCGATTATCCCAGGCACTGAATCAATCCACCTCATGGAGGGTCTTGCCCTCCTGCACTGTGTCTCCACCCTCCCAAGCATGATGGCCTTCTCCAAAGACCGGTGTCTCTTCCTACAATATGTCCAAAGTATGTTGGGCTTCTTGTTAGGAGAGGCAGTTCCTTGGAGAGGGACATCATGCTTGGAAAGGTGGAGGGTCAACACAAGAGAGGAAGACCCTCAACCAGACGGATTGACACAGTGACTGCAGCAATGGGCTCAAGTGTGTCTGGGATGATAAGGACGGTGCAGGAGAGACCACAGTTCAGGTCTGTTGTTCACACAGTGACTATGAGCCATTTTAACTATGAACTTGACTTACCGGCACCTAACAACCACAACAACAACCACAACAACACTGTGACAGTCACCAGGGCACTCTAGCTTGTTGACAGTCTTCCTCTTTTTCTTTCCCAGCGACTTTTTCCAAGGACTGGCCCCTCTTTATAACATGCCTAAAGTATATGTAATTATTTTATGTATAATATATATATTAAAAATGACTAAATATATAAGGATTTTTTCCCCTGCCACTTTTCTTGTTAATATTTTGGCTAGGTCTCTAATTGTTTCTTTTAAACTCTCCTTCAGATTCTCTGATTTCTCTCTTATGTTACTAGACATCATCAGTTCAGATTCCATTCCTTGGACCCAGAAAAATGCCTGCTTTTTTTTTTTTTCTCTAGACTGTCCCTCCATGTTTTTGTCCTCAGGAGAAAATGGACCAGAAAGCACAGTATATACTAGCGTATAGAAGGCAAGAGATACGGGGATTTAATTGCATTTACTTACTAAACTAGGAGTGAGTGATGTACCACAGGAACTCGGGTGAAACTGTTTACTACAGATTAGTAAACTAAACACAACTTGAGCTTCTGTCATCTTACTAATAACTAATAATTACTACTGTTACTATTACTATTACTATTACTACGACTACGACTACTACTACTACTGGTAATCCATTCCTGCAACTACCCTCCTATGCGCCCTGAGGGAAATCTGAGTGGTGAATGATACTGTGATAATTAAGGCTTGCTTTGTCAGGTAAACATCCGCTATCTTTATTAATTCAGGTCTTCATTTTACAGTGGGCTTTGATGATTGGGGGAGGTGGTGGTGGAGAAGATATTTTTCAAAAGACATCACAGGGAATGATCTAGAACAACCAACATGAATTCGACTCTGTCACTTAGAGTCTTAAAAGTCTCTCATGAGAGCAGGAAGCTATAATCGCAACATTACTTTTTTGTCCTTTCAGATTTCATTATTATTGTGATTTGTGTGGAAGCTTACAAATTACATTGGTTTTTCATCTGGTCATTCACTCACATTTTGTTTTATAACATTATTTACAATTCCCCAATGTAACTGCCCTTTCCCCAACACAGCTTATGCATGAAGGAGAAACAATGGGGTGAAGAAGTCTGGGAGCGTTTCCAACTACAGAGCTCAAAGAGTGGAATTCTTATCTACAAGGGTAATACTGCGAAATGATTCTGCCGAGAATAATAGTGTTACGAGCCTTCCCGAAAGAAACAGGATGGTGCTGAGTATATTCCATTTAGGAGGTATTCACAGTTAGACATCACTCCTTAAGGGCGATGCTATGGCAGTCTATTCATTTCAGTTTTGTTCCCGTTTTACATAGCAAGCTGAGAAAGATACTAGAAAATGACATTAACCAGCAGTAGAGGACACAGATCATCAATTATTACACCTAAAAACTGTGCTAAAGGAGAAGAAAAGAAATTGTATGACTATTTAGTGGAAAGTTTCAGATCTTGATGTGGGAAGCCTCATCTTCTAAATTTCCTATAAAGTGATTGTTTCCATGTGAATTTTACTTTGCTGTGACATAAAGCCACAATTAGAGAATTTTGTACAAACTGGGAAATTGGGGATGATGGAAAATAAGGAAGATATTATCATCTTCCTTCTCCAAGAAGTGAGGAATCCTTGCTCCCAGCTCCATCTGAAAGAAAGAGCTCAGGGACGTCTCTGCTCATTTGTTCTTCCATTTGGGATACTTCCACGTCATCACACCCAGAGAAACATTCAGAACACTCTGATATTTCCAGAACCACACAGCCAAGTCCAGTGGCACATAAAGCATGAAATACAGCATCAGGTTTTAGAGACCGTGCTGCTTCCAGTGAACTTACCTGCCCATAAAAGGCCACACGGTAATAGCGACCAAACAACCGCTTCTCGGAGTTTACCACCTCTGCCACTTTCAGGTACGACCGGTGGATGTCGTAGTAGAGATCGGATAATTTCTGAAAGCAGAAAGGTTACATGAAGATGATTATGACACTGAAGAAATGAGTTCTCTACTTTTGGAAATCATCAGTAATTCACCAGTTTAGTGCAGGGTGCTTTATTTAACTTGTTTGTTATGCATCAGAGAGCTGGACAATGACTATGGAGGACAGAAGGAGAATTGACGCCTTTGACCTGTGGTGCTGGAGAAGAGTATTGAATGTATCATGGACTGCCAAACAGATTCATCCTAGAGAGGGTTAAATCAAGCTGCTCCTTGGAGGCAAGGATTCTGGGGCTTCGTCTGACATACTTTGGACATGTTGCAAGGAGGAACAGGTCCTTGGAGAGGGACATCATGCTGGGTAGAGTAGAGGGACAGCACAGGAGGGGAAGACCCTCTATGAGGTGGATTAATTCAGTGACTGGGGTAATCGGGATGGGTGTGTCAGAGGCAGTGCGACTGGCACAGGATAGAGCAGGGTTTAGGGCTGTTGTACATAGGGTCGCTATGAGTCACAAGCGACTCGATGGCACATAACAACAACAGCAACAACAGGTGTTTGTGACACATACTTTGAAGTCTCTCTGCTTTTCGAAGACAGCAATGATGGGCTTGTTGACGTCAGCGATGAGTTCATATCTCTCAGACTTCCAGAGGAACTCCACACACATGTACAACTGTTCCACCAGGATATTCTGTGATTTAACACATCAAAACAAGATTTCACGAGGTTAACATAACGGCTTATAACTAGTTTGGTTTCAAAATAGTTCATTGGTCTGTCTATAGCTCTCTGGTTAACCTTATTTTCCCTTTTTCAATTGGCTATCAATGTCATTGTCAAGGTCAACTTTCACCTTAAAATAGGCAATGAGATGTCTGATGCCTTAAAGCTTTGTAGGAAGTTGAATGTCTAGGACCCTCTGTCCAAACCTCAACCTTGCATTCAAGAAGCTCCACAACCAGACACGAACCTCCCTTTCTTGTGTCTTCTTTGATCCCCTGCCATTGACTTTGATCCCTTGCCACTGCCTTTGCAATTTAACCATACCACACTACACCATCCTTCTAAGACCTTCTGCCCTCTTGTTGCTGCTATACTTACACGAGCCTTCTTCCACTTGACCTTTTATTATCCTATGAAATGTTAAAACCTAGTCCATAGTTTTAACCAAAACACATAAATAACCTCAAACTCAATGCCACTGAGTCAATCCTGGCTCCCAGCAACCCTTCATCAGATAAATAATAAAGGAAACTGCCCATCTTTCCCTGCAGAGCCTCTGGTGGGGGCTAACTGCCTTCGGGTTAGCAGTGTAACTTGTTACATCCTACACTGCTCCAACTCTCTACAGTTTTACTAATGCCCCTCTTATAAGAATTCTAATCTCTCTCATATATGCTCATTAAATCTTCACAATTACTGCAATAGTTGAGACTAGTATTACACACACAATGTTAGTCCACCTTCTTGAGGGGCTACTTCTTTTTCAGAGACTGATATTTCAACTAGCATGATGTCCTTCTCCAGTGAATAGCCCTTCCTGATGACATGTCCAAAATATGAGAGACACATGTCATCGTATTGTTATTTTATGTTCTCTAACAAACTGGCCTAACATACTTTGGACATGTTGTGAGGAGAGACCGGTCCTTGGAGAAGGACATCATGCTTGGGAGGGTGGAGGGACAGTGCAGGAGGGGAAGGCCCTCTATGAGGTGGATTGATTCAGTGACTGGGATAATTGGGATGGGAGTGTCAGAGACAGTGCGATTGGCACAGGACAGAGTGGAGTTTAGGGCTGTTGTACATAGGGTCGCTATGAGTCGCAAGCGACTCGACGGCACATAACAACATAACAACAACAACAACAACAACAACAACAAACTGGCCTTAGAGAACGTGCAAGAAGGGGTCTCCTTTGAACACAGTCCACGCTTGCAGTCACTGTATCAATTTGCCTCATCTTCGCCAAAGGGAGCTAGATTCTCATCTTTCTTCCCACGGAGTCTAAGAACAGCTAATTCTGGCTTACTTTGATGTTGCTTAATTAAGACAAAGTGTGGAGTAAGCTTTTCTCACATATGAATCAGTTCTTCTTCCTTTTCTTCACATTTGACTTACTGTTATTGTCCAATGCACATTTTTACTCAGTTATTGTGTGCTACTGTAGTTAGGTGCCACTGGGTTTTCAGAGGCTGTAAATCACACTGCATGAGGTCATCCATCTTTCTCCCACGGAGCAGCTGGTTAGATTCGAACTATGTGCCTTTGGGTTGGCAACATAACTCCTTACTCACTAGGCCACCAGAACTGCCTGATTACTGTGACAAGGACTACAGCCTTTAATATGGGTTATACGACAACAACATCAAGAGAACAAAAGTCCTCATCACCAGGCCAACAGGCGACATCATGATAGATAGAGAAGAGACTGAAATTGTCAGTAATTTCATCTAGCTTGGATCCACATTTAACACTCCTGGTACCAGAAGGAACAAATCAACAGACATATCACAATGGGAAAATCTGCTGTCAGGGACGTTTCTGGAGTACTAAAGAGCAGTGATGCAAGCCTATAGACTAAGGTGTGCCTGATTCAAGCCATGATTTCAACTGCTTGCTATGGATATAAAAGCTGGACAATGAGTAATGACAACAGAAGAAGAATCAATGCCTTTGGGTTGTGGTTTTGGCAAAGAGTACAGAATATTCCATCGAATGACAAAAGAATCAATAAGTCTGTCTTTGAGGAAGTGCAACCGAGAGAGCTCCTCAGAGGCTTGGATGTGACATTTCATCTCACATCTGGGCATGATGTGAGGAGGGGACCATCCTTGGAGGAGGACGTCACATTTGGAAAGGTGGAGGTGCAGCCTAAGAGAGGAAGATCCCTAACAGAACAGACTGTCACAGTGACTGTAACAATGGGCTCAAGCGTGTCCAAGATGGTGAGGACGGTGAGGGCTCAGAGCCATGTTCACAGGGTCATCTGAAGTCACAGATGACTCGAGGGTACATACCAACAAGATAGAACTTGGTCTCACCTCATTGTATGGTGTATCCTGCATTCCTGAATCTTCTTTCATTGCTCCTTCTTCTTTTATATTTGGTGTGATGCTCAGAAAAGCTGGCCAGCCCATGGAGAACATGCCTTTGGAGGAACAACAACAACAAAAATAATAAAAATGACATAATTATTTATATGAGCCAAATTATGCTTGGGCTAGCTAATGTTCCGCTTCATGATGTTACAAGTGATTGTTGTTGTTATGTGCCGTTGAGTCACTTGCGATTCATAGCGACCCTATGGACAAGAGCCCTAAACGTTGCTTTATCCTGTGCTAATCTCACCATCTCCGACACATTCATTCCCACCACCCCAATCAGTATTGCACAGTTTCTTACCGCTCAGCCACCAGCATCACAAATGACCATCTTCCCTAAAGTTCACTGAATGCACATACCTTTTTCTCAAAGAGTGTGTTATATTGCAATATAACCTTATCTCTGAACATGTGGACTTAATCATGCTTGATTATTGAGAGTTCAACTTATTGGGATGTACGTTCCCACTGGCTCTTACACTGACACCCAATTTTATCAAGTTCCTTCTTTATTTATTTACTTATTCTTCATCTTGAATTTGGAATAATCTTTATGGAATTTTATGGTATCAAATGATGGCTGAAAACAGATGAGAAGGAAAGTCACAGTAAAGAAAATGATGAGGCGTCTGATGATCAGTCTTTAAAAACAAAGTTAAACAGAAAGTGTGGAACAGGTCAGAGGGAGACCTGCCCTTGAGGAGGATGGAACGATGGGGGCACGTTCCCCAGGGCCCTCCCACAAGTGACTTCATTGTCTCACAGTTCATTTGGACCACTGGATTCTCACATCTTATTTGAAAAGTCCATTGCAATCTACACTAACTTTAAAGAAGAGACCAATTATGTTTCAAAAATATTTCAATTACTGTCCACTTATATTTGGCCTGGGCTTCTCTTCTTTAAAATCTAAGGGCTTATTTCTGCTGCTAACAACAAGCTTTCCATGAAGTTTTGAATGTTTAGACAGTGCTCTCAAATACACTGCAATTCATTAGCACCTTGTGTTTGAACACGTTCTTGCAAGAAAACAGAAATTAAATATATCAATTATACTGCTGATTTTGTTTCACCTAGAACAACTCTTTTCATTGTTATATAATTTTTTTTAATCAGTCATCGAAAATGAGTAATTTTTAATGACAGGAAATCTATGCCACAAACACCTTATTATGTTAGGATTCTTAAAATCAGTTTATACTGCTTTTCAAAAAAAGTAAGACAGAACATGTTTATTATACAGTTCTACACACATAGTACGGAGCTTTGGTGGCCTAGTGGTAAGAAGCTGTGCTGCAATCCCAAAGGCACACAGTTCGAAGCTACTAGCTGCTCTGTGTGTGATTAACTGCCTCTGAAAACCCACTGGAAGGTCAGCTATGGGTCAGTTCTGACTCTACTGTAAACACCACCACCACACATATTAGGGCACTATGGTGACGTGTGATAAGGAGTTACACTGCCAACCCAGAGGCATCCAAAGGTTTGAATCCACCAGATGCCCCATGAGAGAACAATGGACAATCTCCTGTGTGAGTCACAGCCTCTGAAATCCCAAAGCTGGATCAGCTATGAGCAGGTTCCGAGTCGACATACACAGCAGCAACAATACACATGTTATATGTGTGTCTTCAGTCTTAGACCGAACGGGAGCTCTGGATGCCTAGCGGGTACAGAGCTGTGCTGCTGATTCAAAGGTGTCACTTCTCTGAAGGTTCAAGTCCACCGGTGGCTCTGTGGAATACAGATGGCCCGTCTCTTCTTGAGCAACTTAAAGTAGCGGAAAACCCAGAGGAGGCTCAGCTACAAGCCGACTGGAGATTGATGAGAGTGTTTTATTCTGAGCACAGGAGCTCTGGCGAGGCGCCCACAGGGAGCTGGACTGTTAACCCGGAGGCAGTTTAAACTCCCCAGGAACTTCACAGGAGAAAGAGCAGTGTCCAGCCTTTGACGTCCTACTTGAGGTCAGCTATGAGTCAGCTCCAGCTCAAGCGTAATGAGTGAGGAGAGTGGATTTGCAATTTTGTCACATTTGCCACTTAAAATGGTCATTCCACAGAGTAGAAAACATTAACCTTTTTTTAAAAAAAATGGATCCTTTTAAAACATTTTATATCAATTTTCTGGTTGGAATCCCCAGGGCAAAATGCATGTAGACTGATAGCAAAATAAGGAGTATTTCTCCTAATACTAACCTAGTGAACACAGAATTCTATTTGCAGGGGAGTTTTCAGTACACTGAACTTCCTAAATACTGGACAGAATTTCTAAACGGTAAGAGCTTTCTAAACGGTAAGGATTTCTAAACAGTAAGAGTTTCTAAAGAGCAAGAAAGAACGTTCTGAGACAGATTCACCCCAGGAACACACACAAACAGGTCTCCTTGCTTGTACGGTTTAGGCAGCAGCTTGATGCCTTGTGCACCAGGACGAGGGGTGACCACACACGGTTAAATCACTCACTTCCTGCACCGGGAGTTGTTAGTAATGAGGTGCTATCACAAGGGTGGGGCTCCTCCAGGCGCAGGGATGGCGGGCAAATCGCTTCCATTTTCCAGTAACCTATGGTAGTGTGAGAGGAGGTTAGAACACAGCCACCTGGTTGGGTTAACATGAGCTTATTAAAGTTAGGAGTCACTGACCAACGGAGCATTCTCACTTTGAACCAAGATGCTGGCCATCCAGCTGGTCGCGCTGCTCATGAAATATGACCATGACACATGGAGGGAGTTAAACTTTCACAAGACAGCGTGATTACAAATACGTATGAGGCTGGAAGCAGAGGGGTGTGGATGTGCACAGGGAGGGGATTAATCATCAGTTTGTACAATTTGGTGGGTGGGGTGTGAGGGAAATGGGAAGAATTTGTTTAAATATGTATTCAAATTTTGTAAATAAACTAGTAGAAAAAATAAAAATATGTATGACATGAAAATGTCTTTATAAAACGGTAATGATTATCAATGAAATCTAAAATGAATAAATTCACTCAGGCCAAGACGATTACTTCTGGATCATTCTTCCCCTTACACGGTCATCTTACCCTTTTATTTTTTTAAATTTCTTTATTTTTTATTTTTTTTTACAGAGGTTTTGGATTTCCATTCAGTCACTGCCGCAATTTTCTCCCTGCCCACCCCTCCCCACCATCTTACCCTTTCTTTTGAGATATTCTGCGATGAGAGCAGCTATGTGGATGTAACACATCGCAGCCTGAAAGAAGACAGAAAACAAATATGTCAAGGGCCAGGCATATCCCAGAGAACATGATTCACCTAAATAGAAGATTCTCTGATTTTCCAGGGGAAGTCTCGACTCCATGTCAGAATATACTTTGAATTATAGAATTGAAAATAAGAATCAATTACAATTCAGGAAAAAATGATACAAAGGTCATTTGGGAACTTTTGTTTGTTTCGTGACATGCTGGTTCTGTGTTCCACTGCTAACTGAAACATCTATGGTTTGAATCAACCTTAGAAATCTAAAGCCGTGCTGCATTGGGAAAAATCCCTCCAAAATGCTAGAGAGTACCAATGTCAGTTGAAAGACTAAGGTACACCATATTTAAGCCGTCGTCTTCTCAGTTACTTCCTATACATCTGAAAGCTGGACAGGGAATAAGGATGACAGAAGACTGAGTGCCTTTGAATTGTGGCACTGGAGAAGAGCACTGAATAGTCTATGGACCGGGGAGAGAACAAGTCTGTCTTGGAGGAAGGGAAACCAGAGTGCTCCTTAGAAGCAAGGATGGTTAAAGTTCATTCACACACTTTGGGCATGCCAGGAGGTCATGCTGGGAAAGGCAGAGGGTCAGAGAAACAGAGGAAGAGCCTCAACAAGATTAGTTGACAAAGTGTCCGTAACAATGGGCTTGCATGTATCAGAGGTACTGACGGTGGTGCAGGATCAGATCATAGGGTTGTTTTGAATCATAGTTGACTTGATGCTACCTAACAACAACAACAACAACAACAACAACGGAATGAAAGGTTTAGCAATCTACTTTGCACAGCTAGTGGAAATCCTTGAGAGCACAGTTCTACAAGTGACACACATGGGTCCCCATGAATTGGCATTAAATTTATGCCAAATGGCTAGCTTTTGGTTTGATAACTTGTTATGGTTTTCAGAAAGGGGAATAACATGACATAAAGAATGTTTCTAATAAGTGCTTTCCTTCCCTAACACAGAGGACTGTGTTAATTTGTTTGGAATTATGGTTCCCTTCTCTTACTAAAATTGTTAAATGAGTCTAACATTTGGATCTTCAATAGAGTGAAAGGTGTACTGTCAGTTACTGAATTGCTTTCTTATTTTTCCCTCCTGTTGAAATGTTCCCTTTTCAAAATTCAGTTGCCCGTACAATGATCTCACATTTTAAAGCTGAAGTGCATCACCATGGAGTTGGCTCTGACTCACAGCCCCCTCCACTGCTGGGCTTCTGAGGCTGCAAATCTTTGTGGGAGATCACCTATCTCCTTCCTGCTGAGTGGCTTGTGGATTTGAACTACCAACCTTTTGGTTAGAGTCAACAAATGTTACCTACGATGCCACAGTTTGACTTTCTGTTGAAGCCTGTGCATTCCTTATTTCAAATCTAGACACTATGGGTACTATTTTATTTTTCCCAAGTTAATCTCCCATAAAGCTTTGAACACCACTGAGCATGTATTAGAATCTTGATTTGCCATGAAAATAATACCTAATCCTATATTCCTTTTTTAAAATTATTTTTGTTTAAGTGTACTGTCAAATCAGATCTGACTGGTACAGGAGGAGATTGTCCCTCCTTCCCCGGCAGAGCATCTGGTGGACTCGAACTGTGCGCCTCTGGGATTGTAGTTGCAACTCCTTGCCACTAGGCCACCAGAGCTCCCCTACTATATTCCTTTTAAATAGTTCTCTCCCTCTTCTGCAACATGAATGAATGGGAGAAAAATTAAATGGAAAGAATATGCTGTAAAAACATACACGTTGCATGAAAAATCATTAGTAAAACATTTAATAAAAAAAGATACTGATTTGCTGAAAATCCAGTACAACTTCCACTTTTTCCTTTGGATGTTTTACGGAGAAATGACGTCTTTTTGAGGACACTCAAAGGAAACTGCAGTTTCTCATTCCTGTGTTCATCAAACTGCAGTCCTGGGTGTATTTCCATTTCAGAGCATGTAATCACCTGTGGATTGATAAGAACTCTAGGCTTCGAGGCTGCCCTAGACAAACTAATCACTTTTCAAAAGGAGCCTACTTCTTTAAAGAGGAAAGAACTTCTCTGCTTGGTACCCAGAAACTATTCAGATGCTTTGATTTGCTAGCTATAAAGCCATCTGATGTTTAAAGTGACACAAAAAATTGTATATTGATTTATGATTTTGACACAGAAGTAGCTCCATTTCCTACCACTATTCAGACAAGCTGCAATTCGGAACTGATGACCATTGTCTGAGTTTACATACCATCATTTACATTTACATCATTTCCTGTTCATGTTTTCTTTAACTGTCATTTTGCTGAAATGCATACATTCGTCGCTTCAATCAATTTTGCACAGTTCAATGATGGTATTTAAACCATCCATGTTGCACAAGAATTTCACAATTTTTCCATTCATTTCCACATTTTTCATCAGAGAAATTCAGAATCTCTTAGGCAATCCCTTTTCTCTCCTTCCCCTCAGTTTTCTTATCACCCTAACACTTAATTTAAACTGCAGAGAATTTTTAAAATAAAAGTGTTGCTTTAGAAAGCCCCCTATTTCCAGACACCGTTGCAACCACCGTCTATAGACTCAAGCTCTGATCCTTTCATACTTTATCCTATTTTTTACAATTACTGTTTATGCCACGCGCATAAGATTCTAGTCTTTATGTGATGCCATTTACTTGGAATAAGGATCTCTTAAACCTACAAGAAAATTTAACATGCATAATGTGGCGTAGTGTAAAATGCAGTCACTTTTTATAATTCATGCTTTAGCTGGAAATCCAATTGTTCCCCCATGGAGGGCAGTCAGTGCCCATGGAAAGGAGCGCCCACTAGTCACCTCCGACAGGTCTCCGTTCCTCGCATGAATCTTGGCCATGCTTTCTAGCCAAGTCCTCCGCAGCTCGGGGGTGCTGGCGTAGGAGTTTGCCAGGCTGTACTGGAGGTCCACCAGCATCTCGGGGTCCTTCTCATGCTCCTTCATCTGAGCTGTGGCCATCAACACGGTTCTGATGCGTTTAGTCAGGTCTTTCACTTCTGCTGGGAAATTGCTGTTCTTTGGAAAAGAGAGAGCCCCGGTCATTATCTCTCTAGGATTTATACATCAACTTACTTCAAATTACGCTCTTCACTATGACTTCCATGAAAGTCTGGTGCATTCCGTATATTGTGAACATATGTGTACCTTGTGCATGTGGACATTCCACGCCTTGTGACTGGTGTTCACATTTTTTTTTTTACTTTATTATTTTTGTGTGAGTGTACCGTCAAATCAGATCTGACTGATACAGGAGGAGATTGTCCCTCCTTCCCCGGCAGAGCATCTGGTGGATTTGAACCGTGCACCTCTGGGATTGTAGTTGCAGCTCCCTGCCACTAGGCCACCAGAGCTCCCCTGCTGTTCACATTTAAAGGTATGGATTGTAGTAGATACTAATTTTTTTGTCTAACACCTGTTTCTAGTAACTGTAGTTATGGGCCCTCAAGTAGACTCATAGTGACTTCAGAACAAAGGAACTGAAACCCTGCCCTGTCCTGTGCCATCATTATCATGGTCACCATCTCTGATACACTTGAGGCCAGTCAGTGTTACTGTATCATTCCAGCTCACTGAGGGTCATCCTCTCTTTGGCTGACCTTCCACCTTTCCAAGCATGGTATCTTTGTTTCCAAAGACTGGCCCTTCCTAACAACATGCCAAGACAGCATTCTAATTTTTAGTTTCCTAAAAACACCATCCTAATTTCTCTAAGACTCTCTCATGCCTGATTCCTGTTCATGTCATTTGAATGAGTTTGCTTCCACTTCTGTCTGCCACGAACGGCAAGTGACGTCAGCCTGGCAATCCTATTCTTTGATGCCTAGATCATGTCATTTGCTTCTGAGATGGGCATGGGAAACAAAGCTGAGATCACAGAGATGCACCTCTAGGAGTTTAACTGAAAAACATGGAAAATTTGCTTTTTCTCACTCACAGAATGAGATCAGTGTTCTGAGTTTTTAGAGGGTAAGTCCATGTGGAGAGGCTGCCTGCAGGTTCTGGAAACACTGAGAGGAGGCAAGTTGAGAAACAGGGATAGAGATAGGAACAAGGAGGATCTGAAGTATTATTTTAACTTTGGATCCAGTCATGCCTGAAGCTAGATTCTTCTATATGTGGAACTTTTAGTCTAACAATTAAAGGAGAAGTGTACTAAAAGTGTAAAAAGAAAGATGAGCTGAATATGGGCAAAAGTATTACTAAGAGTAATTGCCTGCATTTCCACCAACCTTTTGGCTCTGAGTAAAAAGCATTTGCACCACCCAGGGTATTTCTCACCCAAAGACTCTACATGTTTATTCTTCAGTCTTTATAAAGAGTCCACAGACTCCCCCCAGGTCTAACCATCTTTTGGCAGAAGCATTCAACAGAACAAAATATGTGGTGCATTTAGAATGTCGGTCCTTTTATGCATGCTGCCACTGTTAAGGTCATCAGACTCACAGTGACTTTCAGCAATCCATTGCATAGGTAATCATCTTCTTTGGCCTGTCCAATGCATAGGTAATCGTCTTCTTTGGCCTGTCCAAGGAGACCCAAACCTGCAGATGGCGGTCATGCATTCTGTCCCCCACCTCCTACGCAGGTGGCCAGTGGGGGGGAGGGCAGTGACACCTACTCCAAAATATAGTATGACCACTTATGGGGGGGTAAAAGTGGTAGTGCCTGAATTGGAAACACTATCCCTGACCATAGAGTCCTCAGTCAGGCGAGGGGACCAGACTGGGGTAGGGGCAGTTGGAGAGGGAATATACCAGCTAGCTCCTGGGGGGTGTTGCCCTGCTCGGGATGGGCTGCCCTCGGCCCCCGGCTCGGGGTGAGCTGTCGCGGCCCTCTGCCCAGGGTGGGCTTCCCTCGGCCCCCTGCCCGGGGAGGGCTGCCCTCGGCCCCTGGCTCAGGGTGAGCCGTCGTGGCCCTCTGCCCGGGGTGGGCTTCCCTTGGCCCTCTGCCCTGGGCGGGCTTCCCTCAGCCCTCTGCCCGGTGCAGGCTGCCCTCGGCCCCCGCTCGGGGTGAGCCATTGCAGCCCTCTACCTGGGGCGGGCTTCCCTCGGCCCTCTGCCCGGGGTGGGCTGCCCTTGGCCCCCAGCTCAGGGCGAGCCATCGTGGCCCTCTGCCCGGGGTGGGCTGCCCTCGGCCCTCTGCCTGGGGTGGGCTGCCCTCAGCCCTCTGCCTGGTGCAGGCTGCCCTCGGCCCCCGGCTTGGGGTGAGCCATTGTGGCCCTCTACCTGGGGCAGGCTTCCCTCGGCCCTCTGCCCAGGGCAGACTGCCCTCGGCCCTTGGCTTGGGTGAGCTGT